AAGTTGCAATAGTTGTAAACATAAACTTAACATTCATTTGTAGATTGTTTATTGCTGCTCTTCATTTCAATGAGAATGGAAATAAAGCTCAGAAAACGAAGAATGATGGGCAAACAGAAGAGGCATTGATTTGGAGAGTGGCTTATTCAAAGTCAAAAGAAGAACAAGAGGTTATCAAACCAGTGAAAATTGACAGCACTTATGGTTAGCACAGAAAAATAAACTTACTTTTTCTCAAAGTGCAATGCAAAACCAACATAAATAATGATTTGTTTTTCAGGATATGTTAAGGACTTGATGAAAGAAGTTTTGTACTGCAGACGCATTAATCCAACACTGTCCAAAGCTCTTGATGTCGCTGGAGTGAATGAAATACCTGTGCCATTGACTTGCCACAAATCAAAAATCAGCAAAGCTGAAGCCATTAAGCAACATAAATGTCGCTTTTATAAATAAAAAGAAAATAGAAATAACGTTCCACATGAAATAAACATAATTACAAATGAACAGACTTTGTCATACACCATAAGCCATACCATTCAGTAGTGTTGAACATATTCAAATCCTTTGTATTCTCCAGAAGGCGAAGGAAATGCTTTCCGGATTTTGTCCACAGCACAAGAAGGTATGGGTAGTCTGTACTTTTTTCCCAACCTGCCATGCACCCAAGCCGTCCACTGTCGGTACGCCGTGTAGCGTAATGTTCTTTGAAAGATACAAAATTTTGTCTAAGGATACTTATCGGCATTATACACTTCTCGACGTACACGTAATTAAGGTAATATTTACTCGTTTTCTTCACTCTCAGGTATAGGTCCAATGTCATGTGTGTACACGACCATAGCTGTTTTTATGACAGCTTCGTTTGTACACACTGTGGCAAACTCTTCCTCTTGTGTGATGCAAATATGATCGCCATGTATCAGAGGATCAGTATTGTTTACCTCTTGGCAACATATACTTTCCCATCCTGTACTCATCACCACACAAAAGCAACACTCGCACCTAAAAGATAAAAACATTTTTTTTACTTTGGGAGAAACAATGAAACATCAATAAAATGCAACTAACCATTCAACATTTCCAATTCTGTGAATGTATTCATCTTCCGATGACAAAGAATTGTCATTAGTATGACCACCTTGCGCGTTGGCCAAAGGCTCAAACATGTAAGGCTGTACCTCATTGTTATTGATGAGAATATCATAATCGGCTTCTTCTTCAGAAGAATCCATTAACTTTTGTTAAATAAAAAACAATAACTAGCAAACTACCGAAAGTTGTGCTAGTCGTACAACGATGTAAGAACAATGCTTGTTTATGTCAACTAAAACGTCATTCATTCCCAGTTCCCAGACTTCAACAATCTCACGGCGTTTTAGCAATGGTCATCGAATATCGTGTTTTTATCGACTATAATCCTAAATATCTTTTGAAATATTTTGCGGACGACTTTGAAATTTGGTACGTCTTATTTTCACGCCGTAGGCATTACAATAAAATAAAGTTGTCTTCTATCTTGCATGTGTCCTTTAATGTAGAATATTTCAGAATGTTTTCCTCAAAAGCAAAAGTTGTAATATAATTTTTCTATCGTCTTTAGCTGTTGTATAAGAATATATGGAGAAATTGCGATGACTCAGAACTTTTGTTTTTTTACTGCTGTAACGTCATGAAACACGACATGCGCAGAACGCGTTGTAAATGTAAAATATGGGATAGCCCCATTGAGTCTTATAGAACTTAATTGATAGCCCTATATCAAAATTTTGTCTTTTGAGGTAAGGTAAGACTGTAAGAAAGTTTTACCCTTGTATCATTCAAGTGAAGAATTTTCTCATTAACAGCTGTACTACAATTTTGATATTAAATTGTATATGAAGACGTATGAAATGGCTTGTCGTCCTAATGTTTATGAAAGTGGATATGAAGAATCAAGATTTAAGACTGTTGTTGATGAAAATTTTTACTGTTCCATTTGTCTGAATGTCATGAAAGATGCCAGAATGTGCCATAATCAACACAATTTTTGTCGTGAATGTATTGAAGAACATCTACGAGTTAATGCACAAAGATGTCCTCAATGTCAAGATGATTTAACTGTAGCTACGCTTCATCCAGCGCGTGTTATAAATAATATGATTTCAAAGTTAAAGATCAACTGCGACTACGCCAGTCGTAGTTGTCCTGAATTTATAAATGTCGAATATCTTGAAAGACATGTTGAAAATTGTGGCTTTGCTCCAGTGTTGTGTTCTAATGAACGTTGTGGTCTGGAAATAAACAAACGAGACAAGATTAAACATGAAACTGGATTATGTGAATACAGAAAGATTGCTTCTCACGACTTTCGAGAGATTAGCGAAATGTTTCAACGAAGTTTTGAAGACAAAATGGAAATGCAAATGAACAACTTAAGCAGGATAATACACGAAAAATTTATTGAAGTAAAAGAATCAGTGAAACCATTGACATCTCAGTGTACAAAAATACAGAAAGAGATGAAGGAATCTAGAAGAGAAGTAGAAAATGTTCAACAAAATCTTGCTACAGTGACCAAAGAAATGAACGAATCAAGGAAAGAAATAAATTGTGTTCAACAAAATCTTTCTACAGTGACCAAAGAAATGATGGAATCGAGGAAAGAAATAAATTGTGTTCAACAAAATCTTTCTACAGTGACCAAAGAAATGATGGAATCAAGGAAAGAAATAAAAGATGTTCAACAAAATCTTTCTGCAGTGACCAAAGAAATGATGGAATCAAGGAAAGAAATAAAAGATGTTCAACAAAATCTTTCTGCAGTGACCAAAGAAATGAAAGAAATTAAAACTGTTATGTTTCAAATGTTGGAAAAGATGAATATAAATGAACCGCTTGTTCAAACATTACCATCATCAATTGAAATGGTGATGAGCTCTGTAAAAGGTGATATTTTGGTTGCTGGAGGTTACCCACGTGGTTCCTCAAGTGCTGAAATATTTTCATGGAAGGAGAAGAAATGGTTTAAGATTGCATCAATGAAAAATGCGCACAGCAATGCTTCAACATTTATTTATAATGATAATTTATTTGTTGTTGGAGGAGAGAACTGCAAGTCAATAGAGACTTTGAATTTTAAACAGTTTCCTTTCACATGGAAGACATTTCCTGCAGAGCTTCCTTATGAATATTGGGGTCATCAAACTGTTGTTTATAAACAACAAATCCTTTTCATTGGAGGACAGATTTATTGGAAAGGAGCATCAGATTTGATCAGTGAAATAAAGATTACTGGTACAACATCTCATGTTTTAAAAGAGTTGTGTCATATGCCTGAACCACGTTGGGGCCATGGAGCTGTTGTTGTTCATGATAAAGTTCTTATTTTCGGAGGATTGGGAAAAGATTGGCAGGCTTTGTCCAGTGTTTTGGAGTTTGATCCAAGGACTCTTACATTTAAGGAAATGCCTCCATTACCTTATCCATTGACTGAAATGGCAACAGTTCAATGGAGAGATCAAGTTGTTCTTCTTGGAGGTAATGATGGAAGAGAAGCATTGAACAGTGTTAACATGTATGACAGCAAAAAAGGTAAGATTACAGTCTTACCATCCATGTTGGAAAAGAGACGTGGGTGTTGTGCCGTTATAACAGATGATACAATTGTTGTCATGGGAGGTGTGAATGATAAAGGTAATAGTCTAAATTCAGTGGATTGTTTTAAAATGGGAAAAAGTTCTTCATGGACACATCTTTCTTCAATGAACGAGCCACGACACTTGTCTATGGCCGAAGTTTTACCTATTGGACAAAAGTATGTATAAGCAAGAAAACGTTCATCAAACGTAATAACTTACTAAAAATTTATGTAGCTTACACTTGATGATAAATATGTAAAGTTAAATGTTGAAAACTTTAAAGCTTGTCGAGAAATTATTTCTCCACTAATTCACTTTAATGATATATAAACTGTATATTGCAAGTTGTATCATAAAATACTATATACAGCACACGTCTATCACAAACATTGCTCACCGATTAAGAATTATATATTTACACGTTATTTATATAAATGGTATTTTTCAAATATATTACCTTGTTTGCTTACATCATTAACTTATGCGTTGAATTTGTTTTGACTATTTCCAATGAAATATATAAAAGCAATTTTCTTAGAGACTATTTACATGGAGGTACGGTAACCCCATTAGTGGTTATCCCAAAACAGTCACCCTACGTAAATATGTTTCATAAGTAGCGTTCACATAATGCGCTAGCACCCAGTGGTTTACCCCAATAACACTAAGTTCAATGAACTTCTTAAAACTACATCAAACTAATATCAATTTTCGTTATTACTGCCATTATTATTATACGCAGCAAAATTTAAAACGTGACATACTTTATATGCATTGTAAAATTGCAAGAATTTGGAAACTTCACCATTACTGTAGGTGACTCATTTAAGATTTGTCTTGATACTTGTACGAAAGCAATGTGGTAAGTTTCTTGCTATTAACTGGCTAAAATGACATAAATATGACAAACAATTATTAAGCTTCAACAAAATTTTGCATTTCTAGTTTCCACTTACAATGAAAAACTGGAAATTTTATGTCTGAGAACTTTGTATTCTTGATATGAACTGACGTCATCAATAATACAGTCCATGTTTAGGGCTGTAACTGCTAAGTATTTCAAATGAAAATGCGATAGGTGTCGTGGTTGAATTTCAATTTTGAGGTGTGCGAAATTGGAATCTACGTATGAAAGTAATAAATAGATGGCAGCCACTGGAATGGTTTTCAAAAACAATTATTTCGAAAAATTTTCCAAGATGAAATTTTGCAAAAATAAAACGAATATCCTTCGTTTCATTTTTGTTTTGCAACAAAAAAAACAAGCTCGGAGTTCTAACTACAGAAACTTGATACTAAAACCTAAATACATCATTACAGAACGAAACTCGAAGTTTAAAAAATATAAACCAGCCTCTGCTGGTCAAAACAAAATATCACCTCAAAGATCATATGTTGAAGACAATAACAGAAAGTTGAGCCAAAAGGATTCGAGGTGTTCGTTGTCGAAGATCTTAAAACGAAGAGTTATACATAGTAGGTGGTGTATAATATGATTGAAAATAAAGATGGTGTAAACAAGTTAGGAATACCTGTTTACAACAACTGGTGCTTCTACTGTTTTTCCCAAAAAGTTTTGTACACAATCCCACTGTAATATAAAAAAGTAATGAGCTCACACAAGAGATATTTTTAATACCATATAAGTACATTAGTAAAACATACATCTGAGTGAAATATATGTAAATACCTTGGTACAGGGATTGATTTCAAACTGTTCTTCTTGTCCTAAATCAACTAGACAAAAGATAAAAAAGGGTACGCGCATTGTAAAGACAACATGTATAAACATACACTTCTCTATGACTGTCTACAGTATAACATACACTTCTCTATGACTGACTACAGTATAACATACACTTCTCTATGACTGACTACAGTATAACATACACTTCTCTATGACTGACTACAGTATAACATACACTTCTCTATGACTGACTACAGTATAACATACACTTCTCTATGACTGACTACAGTAAAAAATACACTTCTCTATGACCGACTACAGTATAACATACACTTCTCGATGACTGACTACAGTATAACATACACTTCTCTATGACTCACTACAGTATAACATACACTTGACTGACTACAACATAGCGTTTTTTTGATTTCTTACCAAGTTCACTCTTTTGAGGACGAGTAATGTTGATGACAAACTGACAGCGATGGTACCTATATCATAAAATCCATATTTACAATCATTGCGAGCATTCAAAATCCATTACATTAGTCAAGGCAAGGTAATTTATACAGACTACGTGTAAGTCATTCATGATTATTAATATTTTAACATAATGATTAATTAGTCAAGATATTTGACACACTAACATGTTGAAATTGTAATGACCAGGAAAGTTTGTGTGTAAAATCATTTTCTTTACTTTATGAGATGACGCATCGAATAAAATGTCCTACAAAAGAAATAAAATACTAAAAACCCTCCTAGAAAGAACGCCATTTCGACTAATCATTTTTAACTCTTAGTTTCATTGTAGGGAGGGGAGTAAAAAAGGTTTCAAGAGTTTCTCAGGATGGCTTGCACATTCAACTCTCCAAATCGAAGAAAATTTCTTTAGAAGATCCAGAGAAGGTTAGAACGTTTTACTAAAAATATATTTCCATTTCATAATACTCTTGAGCACATCCCATTGAAGATTTAGGAATTTCTAACCAAGAGCTTAGTTGAAAAAGTATGTTGAATTTGAAATGAGCCTTTATGATTTATTTTAACCTACGCGTCTGGAAAACTTTTCTTCGAAATATGACCATTAACAAACACAGAGAGATATAAACAACTTCACCCCTCTCTTCTCGATGACCCTGGGTAAATGTAGTTGACATGTAACCTTTCTCTCTCCCCGGCCTTCCCCACAAACATGGATGTATTACATAAAAAAGACGCTTATGATTCAGAACATGTTTTCAACAATAAGTAAAAGACAAGATCACAGGATGAAAGAAATTAAGCAAAATTTACTCTTCAATTGTTCACAATAGGAAGTAAAAGGCCCAAGACTAAAATTCACGACTTACCACACCAAGTGTAAAGTAGTTGAAGAAATAGTCGGAGCTATTTGATTGATCAAGTTTGTATGTATAGGGAGAATGGATACGCATCTAGAGAAAAAAGATGGAGAAGACGATATTGCTATAATGCACATAAAAAAACATCAAAATTATTAATCGGAAATTATAATAAAAAACAGCAGTAGTGTATGCAGCGTTACAGTCAAATAAACAAAATAACAGATTTTAAATCGATAATACGAGAAGGTATGGACAATCGAATGTAAGCCCAAGATTAATATCGGGATTTTTCTGTACTATCGCGAGATTACATAAATCACGCGTGACTGCCGTAAATTTTGTTGAGCTATTTCTCAAAACACTGTTCTCCAGTAACACCTAGTGAACGCCTGATAGACGTCTTGCAACCAAATAAACTGCTTGAATGCTAACTAAAAAAGCTTCTTACGTCAAAGCCTCTACTGAAACTTTTGCTAAACATTCACCTTATCTTCAGCTTTATAAAATACTTTACAAGGTGAACCAAAACACGTCATGACATCCTGAAATGGAAAATTTTGTACAAATTATTGTTTTTCAGTAGCTTCTAACACACTAAAGCAAATGGTTTGAGCCCGGGAGTATCGTTACATGTTTGTAAATGTAGATCGTCCAGGTTAGTATAGCCCTGAGAAGGACTGTTTTTGTTGTTGTTGACTGACGTTTCGACAACCTTAGCGGTAGTCATCTTCAGAGTCAAATGAGGAGTAAACGTCAGGTTAGCCGTATTTGTTATCTGGTTCTTACGTCATTGTATTGTGTGTACAGGAAATGTGTATTGTCATTGTGAATTAGTGTGAATTATTGTCAAGTGAAATATTTTTAGTTGTGATGTGTGATTTAGGTGTGATGTTTTTCGTTGTAATGTGTGGGTGTCAATTGTGTATTGTCATTGTGAATTAGTGTGAAGTGTAATGTTTTTAGTTGATAGTTTGTTTGTATTGTGAATAAGTCGTTTGTAAGATGCCGGTAATTGCTGTGATCTGTTTAGGGGGGTTTGTTCCAAGTTGGTATACCAACTTTCGAACGTAAGCCGTTGTCTATAGTCAGTACTGTAAGTAATGCATTATGCCGAGTCGCAGTCAATGTTGTGCTTTGTGATTCGTTGATGTTCGGCAATGTGATTAGTTTTGTCTTGTTTCTTAGTAGCTCGTTTGTATTCAGTAAGTCTTATGTTTAAGTTCCTGCCACTTTCCCCGATATAGGAGGCGTGGTAGTCGGAGCAGTTTATTTTATAAACTGCACCTTGTCGTTCGTTGGGTTGTTCTTCATCCTTTATGTTCGTTAGTACTTGTCGTAACGTTGTGATTGGTTTATGTGCGACACGTATGTTGTATGGTCGTAAGATACGCGAGATAGTCTCAGACGTACCTTTGATGTAAGGTATCGTTGCTGTTGTCACTGAGTTGTTCGTTTCGTTGGGTTCGTTGGGTTTGTAAGTGCTGCGTTTGATAAAGTCAGAGTTATAGTTGTTTTTGTCAAAAACACGTTTGAGATAGTTGTTTTCGTGATAAAGTAAATGGTTTGAACCCGGGAGTATCGTTACATGTTTGTAAATGATGATCGTCCAAGTTGGTATAATCCTGAGAAGGACTGTTTTTGTTGTTGTTGACTGACGTTTCGACAACCTTAGCGGTAGTCATCTTCAGAGTCAAAATCTTTTTAATGTTCTGATTGTGGTGGCTTTGTGTGATGTAGGGTTGTAAGATGATTGGTCTAGTAGTCGGTCAGTATGTGTTGGCTTGCAATAAACTGTTATTCGTAGTTTTTGATTGTCATGTTTTACCAAACAGTCGAGAAAAGGAAGAGTTCCGTTTTCTTCGACATCTTTGGTAAATTGTATGTGGCTGTTCTGTTTGTTGATGTGAGTATGGAAGTCATCAATTTTGTCTGCATGTAGTGCTGTGATTGTGTCATCTACGTAGCGAAACCAAAAAGGTAGTGCATGTTTGTAAGTCGTGAGCGCCCGTTCCTCTATAGATTGCATTACAATTTCAGCAACTACAACAGAAACGGGAGAGCCCATTGCTGTCCAATGTAATTGTTTGTAGTGTGTACCTTTCTACTGGAAGTAAGTCGAGGTGAGGCAGAGCTCCAGTAGCTCCATAATATCTTCTGTCGGTAATGGCGGTGCGTCCGTGGTGTTTGTAACGAGGGTTTTTGTACAAGTAAGTGCCAGATTAAGTGGAATACTGGTGAACAGTGAATTCACATCAAAAGACACTAGTACATAGTTGTCCAGTATTTGTTAATGAAAGTTTCAGTGGATTGTAGCTTGTGTTTTGATTTGTTTGCAAGTGGTTGCAGTGTGTCAGTCAAGTACTTCGAGAGTTCGTAAGTAGGCGAACACAGAATGATACAATTGGTCGCATGGGTATTTGTGGTTTGTGAAGTTTCTAACACACTCCCGAAAAGTATGTCAGTTCAGTAAACTTATTTACCTACAGGAGATCTATGCTATTGGAATAAAAGAAGAAACATTTGTTGCAAAATAATAAAGTCTACGTACTTGACATGTGTCTCCAAATGAAACCGTTCTTTCAACGACCTTTTTATTCAGGTCTGGTAATGTACCGAAACTGTTTCCTGAAGAAAGAAATTTTTAACGTATAGAAATGGGAAAAGATGATGAAAAATGTTTAAATGAAAAGTACTGAAATATATTTACTGAAAAACGTGACGGAAATTATATAATGACTTTGTAAGAGCGAGGTGATATTGAGTAAAGGGGATGAGGTAATGAGCAACGTTGAGTGAAGGTGTGGGAGAATGTTGAGTAAAGGGGGTGGGATAATGTTGAGTAAAGGGGATGAGGTAATGAGCAACGTTGAGTAAAGGGGTGGATAACGTGGTGGACAAGAATGAAAGAAGGGTGGGACAATGTTGAGTAAAGGGGATGAGGTAATGAGTAAAGTTGAGTAAAGGGGTGGGACAATGTTGAGTAAAGGATATGAGGTAATGAGTAACGTTGAGTAAAGGGGTGGGACAATGTTGAGTAAAGAGAGTGAGATTATGTTGAGTTGAAGAGGGTGAGATCATACTGAGTGTTAGTGACATCCATACCTTCTCCCACGAGTTTAAACAGAAGACCTGTTACTTTTCCCGATGCCCTCAAAACTTGAACAGATTCTGCATAGCAGTTACCATAGAAACATTGAATCGGCATTGGAGGGGCTCTATATAAAAAAAGAACATTGAAGAACTGTTTATACCAAAAACCATGACCAGCCGACAATTTAAAGAAATATAGTATAAAACAAATTCCAAAGAAGCAAGACATCTTGAGATTGCAAAATATGCATCAAAACAAGACGAGAAGTGAACTGTAAATTTTCGACTTTATTTCAAAGTGATCCTCAGACAGACAACATACTTGGTTTTGTTGGTCAAGCTGTTTCCACTATAGATGCTCATCTTTGAAACGACTGGTGCTCCAGGTCCAGAAGAAAACCGAAGTGAACCAAGACCATGAACAAAGTCAGGCTATAAACAAAATTTGTGGTGCATAAAATCTTGACAGAAAAATATTAAATACAGTTTAAACTATAACAAAGTTATGACAATCATGTCGGGAAAAACAAAGAAATACTTTTCATGTCTTTCACAGAGCACTAACATAGTGTAAATATTCAGTTTGTTGAGATTAAAATGAACATAAATTTTGCATAAACACATATTTAACAATGAAATTATAAAAAATGTTGGTTCAATGAAACAAACCTCAAATTTTGAGTCAATTGGAAAGGTAAACGAGACTCCTCTGAAAGTTAACTCGAACAACTGATGACTTGAATCATAAACTTGTAGATAAAAATATGGAAGTTATCATTGCTAGTTATTAATAAACACATCAATAGAAGGAGTGGCGTAGAAAACTCATTAGTTGGAGGGGGGGGGGGCAAAAATTCATAAGTGCATGTGTTAACAATGGACTTCAAATGAGTTTAATACAACAGAACATGCACATGTGTGCCTCCCCTCCCCCAATTATTGAGTTTGCTCTGCCACCGAGTGGAAGGTAAAGGATGTTTCTACCTCCAGGATGTGTGGCCCCAAATGATTGGTCGATCTGATCGATTGTGGGCTCAAGGTGAGGTGAGTTGAAATGCCCACCACTAGAATGTCCATGAAATACAAAAAAAGATTTGTTTTGAATAATGCAAATCTTACTTCGACAGCTTGTTAAAATGTTGAGAAAGGCATTTAATTGGATTGAAGGGACAAAAGTTTTCATCAACAAATGTGCAGGAAATGCATTCAAAGAATTGGGAATAATTATACAACCAACATGTTTATAGCTCCCGGTTAATTAGATAATTTTACTAATAAATTCATCACCAAATGAAGTAATTTTGGTTGTGTTGTTTTGTTTGAAATTGGTTCTGAAAGGTCTCTTTGTGGAGAACTCAATAAATATTATTTTTTATATTGTTTATGTTTGTAAATGTAGATTGTCCATGTTGGTATAGTCCTGAGAAGGACTGTTTTTGTTGTTGTTGACTGACATTTCGACAATTCTTTTGACTCTGAAGATGACTACCGCTAAGGTTGTCAAAACGTCACTCAACAACAACAAAAACAGTTCTTCTCAGTACTATACCAACCTGGACGATCTACATCTACAAACATGTAACGATACTCCCAGGTTCAAACCATTTACTTTATATTGTTTACATAAGAGAGTGTGGTCTATAATAACCAAAATAAAACAGACTTTACCAATATTTCAGTTTGACTTTCTTCATGTGATAAACTTCAATGATCTTAAAATTTTCGATAAAAATATACAATGTCATAATGTGGCGTGAACATGTTTCACATTAAAGTAACAGAGAAGACAACAGAAAGGTTGCGGTTAACTAACAACAGTTGAAATTTACCATTCAAATTTGTGCAGTAAATACCTTGAGTCTTTGATCTGATGAATCAAACTTTAAACAAATGCCATCATCTGGAAGTTTAAGGATGAGATCTACTGCCAGTGGATTCTGTAAAGACAAGAGCAAACCGATTAATAGACAATATAAAAACGATATAAAGTGAACAAAATTCGACTAAAACACAAATCATCGCCATACCGCTTCACTATAGATAACTTGTACAGACTTTATCACTGTACATTGTCTTTTTAATATTTGAACACACTGCGATACGGGCATTCCTAGGATTTTAACGTATTTCGAGGTTCATTGTGGATATCATATTTGCAAAAATGAAAAATCAACAACATTAAATACGACAGTTCTCAAACGTTCATATATTAAACTACCAAGAACAAATTCCCATTCTCCGTTGCCAAGGGAGCGTTCAGGAACAACCTCAAGATCCAGCATGATTCAGACAATCTTTACTGTAGGTTTTGGGGAATTTAAGAAAAAAAGAACGGCTGAAAATTCATTTGGCACATTGATTTGACATTATATCACCGTATTTACATCGCCATTTTCGTTGTTTTGATTAACACTTGGCAATATTGAGCGCATGCGTTGTAATTACTCCTGGCTTGAATATATCATAGAGATCAGTGAGATATTGTTTTCAATTATTCAATATTTCGTTTTATCAATTTCCAGGAAAAAAACATGTAATTCCCCGTAAATTGGAGAATAAAAATTCACAAAAATTAAAAAACTATATACCATTATCTAAAAACTTAATCATCACTTCATATAGAAGTTGCTCACCACTCCAACAGTTTATCATAAGTATCAATGGTTACATATACCTTAAACGTTTACATATTTAACTTATTTATCGTAAAGGAGTTCAGTCAGTTTTCTTGCTTATACATACTCTTGACCAAAGGGTAAAACTTCAGCAATGGCTTCTTCACGTGTTTCATTCATTGAAGGAAGATATGTCCATGAAGAACTGCTTCCCATTTTGAAACACTCTACTGATTTAAGATAATTACCTTCATCACTCATACCTCCCATGACAACAATTGTATCATCTGTTATAACTGCACAACATCGATTTTTTTCCAACATGGATGGTAGGACTGTAATGGTACCTGTCTTACTGTCATACATGAAAACACTGTTCAACTTTTCTCTTCCATCATAACCTCCAAGAAGAACAACTTGATCTCTCCATTGAACTGTTGCCATTCCAGCCAATGGATGAGGTAATGGAGGCATTTGCTTAAATGTAAGAGTCCTTTGATCAAACTCCAAAACACTGGATAAAACTTTGCTATCTTTTCCCCATCCTCCAAATATAAGAACTTTATCATCAACAGCCTCAGCTCCATGGTTCTTTCGTGATTCAGGCATATGACACAACTCTTTAAAAACATGAGATGTTGTACCTGTAATTCGTATTTCATAGATAAGATCAGATTTTCCTTTGCCAACAATGTGTCCTCCAATGAAAAGGATATGTTGTTTACAAACAACAGTTTGATGACCCTTACATTTATAAGGAAACTCTCCAGAAAATGTCTTCCAAGTCAAGGGTATCTGTTTAAGATTCAAAGTTTCCATTGACTTGCAGCCAAATCCTCCAACAACAAATAAATTATCATTATAAATGAATGATGACCCACCAGTGTTCATTTTCCATTGTTGCAATATTAAACCATTTTGTTTCCTTGCAAGAAAATATTTCAACACTCTTTAAGGAGCCTCCAGCAACCAAAATATCCCTGGTTACTACGTTTATCATTTTACTAATTGGTGATATCAATGTTTGATCTAGTTGCTTATTTATCTTTTCAAACATTAGAAGCATTGTGGCTTTCATTTTTTCCATTTCTTTGGTCACTGTAAAAAGATTTTGTTGAACATCTTTTGTAGGCACTCTTGATTCCAGCATTACTTTCTTTGACTCCATCAGTTCTTTGGTCACTGTGAAAAGATTCTGTTGAACATTTTTTATTTCATTTTTTACTTCCATCATTTCTCTCCTTGATTCCATCATTATTTTGCTCACTGCAAAAAAATTCTGTTGAACATTTTTTATTTCTTTCTTTGATTCCATCATTTCTTTCTTTGATTCTATCATTTCTTTCCTTGACTCCATCATTATTTGGCTCACTGTAAAAAGATTTTGTTGAACATCTTTTATTTCTTTCTTTGATTCCATCATTTCTTTCCTTGAGTCCATCATTATTTGGTTCACTGTAAAAAGATTTTGTTGAACATCTTTTATTTCTTTCTTTGATTCCATCATTTCTTTGGTCACAGTAGAAAGATTTTGTTGAACTTCTTTTATTTCTTTCCTTGATTCCATCATTTCTTTACGTATTTCAACATATTGACCACATACATTAGTAAATTTTCGATGCATTTCAGCCCTATCTTCATCCATTTTTCTATTTACTCGAATTATTTCATTAATTTGCATTTTGACTTTGTCATCTTGATCTTTAAAACTTTGTTGAAACATTTTTTTAATCTCTTCAAAGTAGTGAGAAGCAGTCTTTCTATATTCACATAACTCAGTTTCATGTTTAATCTTGTCTCGTTTGTTTATCTCCTTGTCACAACGCTCATTAGAACACAACACTGGAGCAAAGCCACAATTTTTAACATGTTTTTCAAGATCTTCCACATTTATAAATTCAGGACAACCACGATTAGCGTAGTTGCAATTGATCTTTAACTTAGAAATCATATTATTTATAACACGCGCTGGATGAAGGGTAGCTGCAGTCAAACGCTCTTGACATTGAGGACATCTTTGTGCATTAACTCGTAGATGTTCTTCAATACAAGAACGACAAAAGATGTGTTCGTTATGCTGACACATTCTGGCTTCCTTAACAACGTTGAAACAAATTGAACAATAAAAGTTTTCATCAACAGCAGTCTTAAATCTCGATTCTTCGTATCCACTTTCGTAATCATTTGGACGGACGGCCATTCCTCAATAGATTTACAAATAATTCAATATCAAAATTCCTTCGCAAAGAGACGAAATTATCCGATCAAAAGATAAACCAGCGAAACGTTAAAATTTATAATCGCTTTCATTCGTTTTTGGCCAAACGATGAAAGTTCATCGATTGAGTTCACTTGAGATTAGGAGGAAAACAACTCTGAGCTAGAAGCGACAAACCCGGAAGAGCGGAACCACTAAACTGAACAGAACCGCAACACCAAAAGGACCTGCCTCCTCTGCCACCCCACTCACCCCCATGCCATACGGTTTACGCATTGAGTTTCAAAATAATCATTAAAATGAATAAAACTGGAGCGCTATCTTTCCCTGTAATCAGGCCCGGATTTACCTTTGTTTGAGATACAGACTTCTTGAGGATATGGCCGGCTAGAGGGTAAAACAATACAGTATGACGTCTTTACTCGCATTGACCCAAAATCGCGCTGTTTGATGACGTCTGCTGTGCAATCTAGGTGGAGTGTCATCGAAATTGAGGCTTAATTTGCACTTCCTCACTTTCAATGCTTAAAACACTGATAAAATGTAGCGAAGTAATGTACCGAAGCTGTTTCCTGAAGGAAGAAATTTTTTAACGTATAGAAATGGGAAAAGGTGATGAAAAATGTTTAAATGAAAAGTAGTGAAATATATTCACTGAACAACGTGACGGAAATTAAATAATGACTATGTAAGAGCGAGGTGATATTGAGTAAAGGGGATGAGGTAATGAGCAACGTTGTGTGAAGGGGTGGACAATGTTGAGTAAAGGAGATGAGGTAATGAGCAACGTTGTGTGAAGGGTGGATGAAAGTAAAGGAGATGAGGTGAATGACAACAAGGGTGGGACAATGAGTGAGGGTGGACAAAAAGTGGACAAGAGTGAAGGGTGGAAGTGAAGGGTGGACAACGTGAAGGGTGGAATGGAGTGGAATGGAGTGAAGGGTGGACAAAAGGAATAAAGTGGACAATGGACAACAAATGGAGTGGACAAATGGAAGGATGGAATGGACAAAGGAAAGGATGGACAATAAATGGAAGGGTGGACAATGGAAGTGGAATGGACAAAATGGAAGGGTGGACAACGAGTGGAAAAGGAATGGAGGAATGGACAACGTGGAGTGAAGGTGGACAAAGTGAAGGGGACAATGGAAGGGGTGGACAATGTTGAGAAAGGTGGACAACGTTGAGTAAAGGGATGAGGTAATGACAACGTTGAGGAAAGGATGGACAATGGAGTGGGTGGACAAAATGGAGTAAAGGTGGGACAACAAGTGAAGGGGTGGACAACAGTGAAGGGTGGGACAACGTTAGTGAAGGTGGACAACATTGAGTGAGGGTGGGACAACGTTGAGTGAAGGGGTGGGACAACGTTGAGTGAAGGGTGGGACAACGTTGAGTGAAGGGTGGAAATGTTGAGTGAGTGAGTCATACTGAGTGTTAGTGTCATCCATACCTTCTCCCACAAGTTTAAACAGAAGACCTGTTACTTTTCCTGATGCCCTCAAAACTTGAACAGATTCTGCATAGCAGTTACCCTAGAAACATTGAATCGGCATTGGAGGGCTCTATATAAAAGACATTGAAGAAATGTTTATACCAAAAACCATGACCAGCCAACAATCGATGGGTTCGAATCCCGTTGAGTCACTTGAATTTTTCAGGTTCATGAGACAATTTTTCAGGTTCATGAGACAATTTCAGGTTCATCAGATGCATTTAACCACTTTAACTAATATTTTTATGGTTGCTGTAACCAATCATATGGTTATTTTTACCAATCATTTCTTACAGTGTAGTTACAGTTTTAAACACCCTTTTTTGGCCAAGATTTAAAATTGTTCCTGGCTAAACGACGAATTGTCTTGTTTAACGATCGGGTCTAACTCCCGTTGTTCTTAGCGCCTTTGGAAGTCGATTAAGATGCTTTGTGTTTGCTTTATAGTGCTTTCACTATTCCTCTTTTAAAATCCGAAGCTTAATTTTACACATATTATGTCTTACAAACTTGTTTTGTAATTTTACGTTTTGAGTGTTTTTGACATCGTTGTTAAATTAAATTTTACAGCTTCGTTCGCTTGGCAGCATTTCGCTCTCACATTCCTGTTTACAATACTATCCTCTTGTCGTAAAAACATTGTAAAGCAATCTTTATAAAACAATGACTTCATCGTTTCAAGAGTTTCATAGTGTGCAATAACATTGATAGTTTTCGCAACTATGGCCAGGATCTTCTGGAAGACCGTCTGTTGCATTTCGTTTTAAACACATGAGTCATGACACCAGTAAAGCAATTATTGTTTGAATATCATGCGTCATCAGAAAATAAACTTTCTGAAACCTCACAACTTTTACCTACAAATTGTCAGCAAATGCCTTCAATACACACATTTTACGTTTCATTGCTGTCAGCACGCTTTGGGGCTTGTGAATGCCGTTTAACTGAATGTAACAGGGCTTTTGCTCGTAAAATGCGTAATACTTTAGCTAAAGAATCAATCCAATACTAAAGATTTCTAATACCAAACAATTGCAATTATTATACATGCCCTTTTGTATGTCTTAATTGTCTTTACATCAATCGATGTAGACAAGAACCTTGAAGTAACTTATCTGATTAGCTACGAATAAAGAATTAACCTTTAGAATAGATGAATTATTGAAAAGCTGTTCGACACTCTGAATTTATTAACTTTAGTATTACAAAAGATACGTAAAAATACAAACTTAATTATGCAGTTTCAATCTTTTGCAACTGTACTTTTTGTAAAAGTTTCAATGTAAAGATTTAATACTAAATGAGAGGTTTTCATACATGAAATCCACATATAAGAACAAAAAGTTGTGTTAACTACACTAATGTCTATTGTTTCCAGGAAAAACACTGCAGTCTATTTCGAGAATACAGTTCAATACCAAAAAACAAGGATTCATGCCATTCCTTTAACTTTCTCAACTTGATCAATGATCGCTCCTGTTACCTCAGTTCCTTTCTTTGTTAAATCAAGGATGTCGTTCCAACGTTGATTATCGACATTCCATTCTCCGTTTCGGTCATCTTTGTAAGCTGTAAAGGCGATTCTGACACCAGCGTGATACGGCGGAGGTACGTCTTATCTTGCCAACTAAACTCAACTTGGGCCCAGTTGGTCTGAGCGTCGGTACCAGTTCTTGTTGGACTCTGATCGGCGCCGTACCATAGCATTTGAGTACCACAAGGTATGAACATGTTGACGACGTCATCTTGCTTGTTTATCACAACTTTCCATTTATGGTTGAATCTATCGGTGAAAGTGAACTCGAAAGGAAGTTTGGAATCATTCTTTCCATAACGGAGGGTATCATAAGTGCGGGAACCTTGGATGTACAAAAGCTTGCCTTCCTTCTCACGGTACAGACGGTCCATTTTTTCGAAAGTCATTATAGCTGTCGGCTTGATTTCCTTTTCATCGCAATAAATCTTCATGATTTCGAAAGATTAACTTTGATATCTAGCAAAATTTACGAGAAACAACAGAGTAGGTAGTATGATCCGCATTGTATCAACATTACCACTATTTACCATTACTGTGTTGAAGACTTGGATAGACTATTTCAAAATGTATCAAAAATCTTTGCTCCCGTTAACTACTAAAAATTCTTCCAGTATATATTTTTGAAAGACAAAACGAAATTTTTATGATTAAGCTATCATTAAAAACTATTCTTTAAATAATGTACGAATGTGAAATACTGAAGAAAAAATTGTGTGCACATGCCTCACATCAAAGAGTTAGCTCTCAGCCTTTCCTCAAAACGAATAGCACTCACCTCAATAAAAACGTATATGAACTTGCTCTTTCTTCTTTAAGATACAGCAAATGTTTAATGTACAAACTAGCCACGGACGTTGCGAATTGCGATCAATCGCAAAGCTTTAAGTACCTACAGGATTGCGTTTTATTTTAGCCTATTCATATTTATGATATGTAATTTTTTTGAGTGCTTCTTAGTTTCTTTGTTGAAACAGACCTTTGATGTCTAAAGCATCACATGCGCAGCCAATACCACACACATCTGGATATTGTATTCTATAGTGGATACGAAAATCAGAACTTTGAAAAATAAAAATTTAATCAAAACACGACTGTTGTGAGACAAAAGAAAATGAGATAAAATCGGTGTCTTTTGTTTTGAATGCATTCGACTCAAGTAAAATGCGACGTATAAAACAGGCCTTAGTTGAAAAAATTTGTATCCAGTCAATTAAGTGCTATGTATAAGAATATTGTTCTTCTAAAATAAAGTTCTTTCAATAGCTATAACGTCAAAGGATGTGCGGCAACTTTGATTTGCCTCCTCATGTTTGTAGTCTTTACACTGCATGAAGTATACCACACTCTAAGTTTTGCTGCACACAATGTAAATACTGTATACAGCAAATTAAAATTGAAGATTTGACTATCACACAAATAACTGCATGGTGCAAGACTTAAAGAAGCTCATAAAAGGAAAGATTCATGCGATTGCAGTTTAATTGCTATAGGAAGGTTTGTGTAACACTGTAGTTATTTTGAAAATATTCGTGAGCGGAAGTCTCTCATGACTATTATTAGAGACGCATCAAGTGTTTTGCTCTTCGTTTCCATCACATGAAAACGGACATAACAGAAAAATAATCAATTCTCATAATCTTAGGCGTGAAAGAAACAAAATGAGCAAAAGCTTAGCTGGAGCTTTGAATTTAGTATTGGTAGCTTTTGCATTACATACAAGTTAAGCTTGAGTACATTCTTGAAGTTAAGCTTGAGTACATTCTTGAAGTTCTTGAAGTAAACATTCGCTTAACCATTTTTATGTGATGACTCTTGTCTAGATGTTGTATGTATGTTTGGTGTAAACAAAAATAAGAACATTGAAAATTAGAGAATTGGAACTGTACGAACAGCTCAACTCATTACAATAAAAAAGCAACGGAAGCCAGTAATCGAATCAAATATACAACAGACAGTGGCACACGAAATGGATCTACATTTTATTCCCTAAACTGTGATGCAGACATTAATGTTAAAAAAATCCACTACAATTTTATCTAAGATCCTTTATCTAAGACAATAAAAAAATTTGTGTCATAGTCACTTTAACTTTATTTCATATTTATTTGTTTTAAGCAGTTTGAACTAAATGTGACATTAAAGTACAGCTAAAGTTAGTCTTTAGTTTAAATTAAGGTAATTGCTCGCTTCAAACGCTGCCATGCAAAATATCCAAAACTTATGAAAGATATTACTTTGGAGAGTTTACAGTTTTGTAGAAGATTTGAAATACATTTATAAAAGGAAAGATTCATGCGATTGCAGTTTAATTGGTATAGGAAGTTTTGTGTATACAGTGTAGTTATTTAAAAAATAATCGTATGCAGTTAATTAAATGCTATGTATAAGAATATTGTTCCTCTAAAATAAAGTTCTTTCAATAGCAATAACGTCAAAGGATGTGCGGCAACTTTGATTTGTCTCCTCATGTTTGTAGTCTTTACACTGCATGAAGTATACCACACTCTACGTTTTGCTGCACACAGGGTAAATACTGTATACTGCAAATTAAAATTGATGATTTGACTATCGCACAAATAACTGCATGGTGCAAGACTTAAAGAAGCTCATATAAATATACAATAGTCACGAAATTATATATACATTCGAACAGTTGGATCTTAGAAATTTCATTAATAATACCATTCATTATTTTGCTTATAGTTTACGCATTTTGCGAAATGCGAAGATACCGCGCAAGCAAAATCACAGTCCCATTCAGTAAGAGTGCATGTACACAAGAAGCAACGCATGCTGACATCAATGAAGTACAAAATGTTTGCGTGTTTAAGCAATTACTGACAATTTGCTGGTGAAAGTTGAGGCATCTCGAAAAGTTTATTTTTGATGAAACGCAACATTCAAGCATATATTGTTTAGCAAGTGTAATGAGTTTGAAAGTGAAATGCATCATCTCCGCAAGAAAAGGCCAGTCCCACGATGAAGGCATTTCGAACAGAAAATACTTTTATTTAAAAATATGTATGAATCGGATCGTATTTGAATTTGCATTGACAGCGTCGTAGCTCTAATCGAAAAACTGGGTGAATTAGATTTTGCATTAACGTAATTCTAATTTAGTTCTAAGTGAAAAAATATGGTGATTGATTTACTCCAACTTTTGTTGATAATCGAATAGCAACCGGAAAATAATCTACACTGCGCAATACTATTTGGTGGCGACTGCATGTCTGAGCAAACAGTAGCCAATCACAGAAAAAAACGGTGATTAAACTAAGTCCACGTGGATAACTTTAAACGTTCTTCACTTTAGCATCGTATTTTCGGTGACTGAATGTCTACATGTTTGAATGTTAAAATCTGGTTGCACAAATCAAATGCCTTCATTTCATGCAAATTTTAACGATAAATTTACTGTAATTTTTGTTGGCTATAAATGCAACAAGAGTTTGTCTTTCAAAACATTTTTCCGACATGCATATGATATGTCGTACATTCACCAGATAAATCAACATACATTTATAGTTTGATGCCAACTGGCAGTGTATTTTCGTCGTTACTTTTTACAAAAAAAACCCAACAATGTAATAAATATCTACAAAACAATTCTGTACCGATTACAAATAGTGTTTAATCTTTGAATGGATGCTTCTTGTATTGAAACAATTTCATTGCATGCAATCCACAACTTTTCACATAGATCATGTGTTTAGACTAAGGGGCGGAACACGAGGAGGTGCAAGGGGTGTGTGCCAAGACACGGATGATGTTATTTTATCATGGCATTTCAAAATGATGCACTCCTTTCTGAATCCGCTCTTGTTATAGATTCATTGTCATTACGATCATGTCAATATACACCGACACATTTAGCAGTGTCTTAAAGACTAAAAGTAAACATTCATTTCATTTCTGCTTTATATTTTTCTCACCAAAGCACTGTGACCATCACAACAGGAACATACTGCCTGCAAAAGCAGTATCTGGGCGACTTTTCTCCATTATAATATTTTAACATATCAAGATGGGTTTCGAAAGCACACTACTTTGTAGAGGAAGTTTTTTGGTTGAGAAATGCTTTTATCGAACAATGACGTTACAATATTGAAGTGTTTGCGTTGGTCCAAACAGAACATTTTTCGTGAAGATCTTGAAAAGAATTGAACTAATTTAAATGTTTTAAAAATATTGGTGACAGGAAGTCTTTCATGTCTGTTAGTGTTATATGCTCTTCGTTTCCATCACATAAAAACGGACATAACAGAAAAATAATCAATTTTCATAATCTATGGCGTGAAAGAAACAAAATGAGCAGAAGTTTAGGTGGACCTTTGAATTTAGTACCGGTAGCTTTTGCATTACATACAAGTTAAGCTTGAGTACATTCTTGAAGTTCTTGAAGTTAACATTCGCTTAACCATTTTTATGTGATGACTCTTGTCTGGATGTTGTATGTATGTTTGGTGTAAACAAAAATAAGAACATTGAAAATTAGAGAATTGGAACTGTGCCGGACAGCTCAACTCATTACAATAAAAAAGCAACGGAAGCCAGTAATCGAATCAAATATACAACAGACAGTGGCACACGAAATGGATCAACATTTTATTCCCTAAACTGTGATGCAAACATTAATGTTAAAAAAATCCACTACAATTTTATCTAAGATCCTTTATCTAAGACAATAAAAAAATTTGTGTCATAGTCACTTTAACTTTATTTCATATTTATTTGTTAAGCAGTTTGAACTGAATGTGCCATTGAAGTACAGCTAAATTTAGTTTCTAGTTTAAATTAAGGTAATTGCTCGCTTCAAGCGTTGCCATGAAAAACATCCAAAACTTATGAAAGATATTAATTTGGAGAGTTTATAGTTTTGTAGAAGATTTGAAATGTATTCATAAAAGGAAAGTGGCATGCGATTGCACTTTAATTGGCATAGGAAATATTGTGTATACAGTGTAGTTATATTGTTCCTCTAAAATAAAGTTCTTTCAATAGCCATAACGTCAAAGGATGTGCGGCAACTTTGATTTGTCTCTTTATGTTTGTAGTCTTTACACGGCATGAAGTATACCACACTCTACGTTTTGCTGCACACAGGGTAAATACTGTATACTGCAAGTTAAAATTGAAGATTTGACTATCGCACAAATAACTGCATGGTGCAAGTCTTAAAGAAGCTCATATAAATCTACAATAGTGACAAAAACTATATATACATTCGTGACTGTTGGATCTTAGAAATTTCATTAATAATACCATTCATTATTTTACTTATAGATTACGTTTTTTGCGAACTGCGAAGATACCGCCCAAGCAAAATCACAGTGCCATTCAGTAAGAGTACATCTATACAAGAAGCAACGCATGCTGACATCAATGAAGTACAAAATGTTCGCGTGTTTAAGCAATTACTGACAATTTGCTTGTGAAAGTTGAGGCATCTTGGAAAGTTTATTTTTTAATGAAACGCGACATTCAAGCATATATTTTTCAGCAAGTGTGATGAGTTTGAAAGTGAAATGCATCATCTCCGCAAGAAAAGGCCTGTCCCACGATGAAGGAATTTCCAACAGAAAATACTTTTATTTAAAAATATGTATGAATCGGATCGTATTTGAATTTGCATTGACAGCGTCGTAGCTCTAATCGAAAAACTGGGTGAATTAGATTTTGCATTAACGTAATTCTAATTTAGTTCTAAGTGAAAAAATATGGTGATTGATTTACTCCAACTTTTGTTGATAATCGAATAGCAACCGGAAAATAATCTACACTGCGCAATACTATTTGGTGGCGACTGCATGTCTGAGCAAACAGTAGCCAATCACAGAAAAAAACGGTGATTAAACTAAGTCCACGTGGATAACTTTAAACGTTCTTCACTTTAGCATCGTATTTTCGGTGACTGAATGTCTACATGTTTGAATGTTAAAATCTGGTTGCACAAATCAAATGCCTTCATTTCATGCAAATTTTAACGATAAATTTACTGTAATTTTGTTGGCTATAAATGCAACAAGAGTTTGTCTTTCAAAACATTTTTCCGACATGCATATGATATGTCGTACATTCACCAGATAAATCAACATACATTTATAGTTTGATGCCAACTGGCAGTGTATTTTCGTCGTTACTTTTTACTACAAAAAAAACCCAACAATGTAATAAATATCTACAAAACAATTCTGTACCGATTACAAATAGTGTTTAATCTTTGAATGGATGCTTCTTGTATTGAAACAATTTCATTGCATGCAACCACAACTTTTCACATAGATCATGTGTTTAGACTAAGGGGCGGAACACGAGGAGGTGCAAGGGGTGTGTGCCAAGACACGGATGATGTTATTTTATCATGGCATTTCAAAATGATGCACTCCTTTCTGAATCCGCTCTTGTTATAGATTCATTGTCATTACGATCATGTCAATACACACCGACACATTTAGCAGTGTCTTAAAGACTAAAAGTAAACATTCATTTCATTTCTGCTTTATATTTTTCTCACCAAAGCACTGTGACCATCACAACAGGAACATACTGCCTGCAAAAGCAGTATCTGGGCGACTTTTCTCCATTATAATATTTTAACATATCAAGATGGGTTTCGAAAGCACACTACTTTGTAGAGGAAGTTTTTTGGTTGAGAAATGCTTTTATCGAACAATGACGTTACAATATTGAAGTGTTTGCGTTGGTCCAAACAGAACATTTTTCGTGAAGATCTTGAAAAGAATTGAACTAATTTAAATGTTTTAAAATATTGGTGACATGAAGTCTTTCATGTCTGTTAGTGTTATATGCTCTTCGTTTCCATCACATAAAAACGGACATAACAGAAAAATAATCAATTTTCATAATCTATGGCGTGAAAGAAACAAAATGAGCAGAAGTTTAGGTGGACCTTTGAATTTAGTACCGGTAGCTTTTGCATTACATACAAGTTAAGCTTGAGTACATTCTTGAAGTTCTTGAAGTTAACATTCGCTTAACCATTTTTATGTGATGACTCTTGTCTGGATGTTGTATGTATGTTTGGTGTAAACAAAAATAAGAACATTGAAAATTAGAGAATTGGAACTGTGCCGGACAGCTCAACTCATTACAATAAAAAAGCAACGGAAGCCAGTAATCGAATCAAATATACAACAGACAGTGGCACACGAAATGGATCTACATTTTATTCCCTTACTGTGATGCAAACATTAATGTTAAAAAAATCCACTACAATTTTATCTAAGATCCTTTATTTAAGACAATAAAAAAATTTGTGTCATAGTCACTTTAACTTCATTTCATATTTATTTGTTAAGCAGTTTGAACTGAATCTGTCATTGAAGCCCAGCTAAATTTAGTCTTTAGTTTAAATTAAGGTAATTGCTCGCTTCAAACGTTGCCATGCAAAACATCCAAAACTTATAAAAGATTTCACTTTGAAGAGTTTACAGTTTTGTAGATGATTTGAAATACATTCATAAAAGGAAAGATTTGCACTTTAATTGGTATAGGAAGTTTTGTGTATACAGTGTAGTTATTTTAAAAATATTCGTGAGCGGAAGTCTCTCATGACTATTATTAGAGACGCATCAAGTGTTCAGTTCTTCGTTTCCATCACATAAAAACGGACACAACAGAAAAATGATCAATTTCTACAATCTTAGGCGTGAAAGAAACAAAATGAGCAGAAGCTTAGCTAGAGCTTTGAATTTAGTATTGGTAGCTTTTGCATTACATACAAGTTAAGCTTGAGTACATTCTCGAAGTTTTTGAAGTTAACATTCGCTTAACCATTTTTATGTGATGACTCTCGTCAGGATGTTGTATGTATGTATGGTGCAAACAAAAATATGAACATTGAAAATTGGAGAATTGGAACTGTACCAGACAGCTTAACTTATTACAATAAGAAAGCAATATACTCCTCTTTTGTAAAGTTTTGTTTAGTACAACGTCACAGGATGTGCTGCAAGTTAATTACCATCCCAATTCAAACTAGGGACGAGCAACAATGCACGTCTCCAGTCTTCACATTTGTTGTTTTAAACCGCATGAAGTATGACACGTTCTGAAATTTGATGCATGTAATACATAATGTCCATGCATGCAAACGAAAATCAGAAATTTGAAGATCATGAAATGCGGAACTTTCAGAGACAACATAGTTTTTGAATGCATGCAGTTGTTTGAATGCTACGGCCACTGCAATAAATTTTGTTCAGTGTTAAAATACAGTAAAGACAGCAAACAAAGATGTCGTGTTTGTCTTAAAGGCAAACAAAGATGTCGTGAGAAGGGAATATCCCATTTAATCCGAGCGAAAACAAAGTTGTTTTATTAACAAGAACACAGGATGGTACATTCATAAAAGGAAAGTTGTATGCGATTGCACTTTAAGTGGTATAGGAAGTTTTGTGTATACAGTGTAGTTATTTTAAAAACATTCGTGAGGGGAAGTCTCTCATGACTATTATTAGAGACGAATCAAGTGTTCCGCTCCTCGTTTCCATCACATAAAACGGACATAACAGCAAACGAAATCACATTCGTATTCTTTGGCGTGCATGAAACAAAATGAGCAGAAGTTTATCTAGAGCATTGAGCTTAGTATTGGTAGCTTGTGCATTACATACAAGTTATGGCTGTACAAGCAAGTTGGGGCATAACGAGCAAGTTAGAGGCTGCAAACAAGTTGAGTACACTGAAGAAAAGTGTCGAAGTTCTTCATATGTAACATTCGCCAGTCAAACGATTAGGAAAGGCAGTCGTGATGTTCGAATCACTTTATCCCAAAGAGAAAGTGAACTTTCTTGGCATTGTGGGAACACGAAAGAACGTGTCGCCTGGGGAGAGCCGGCAAATCAACTACGAGTGGATTATCTAAGCGATGGTAACGTACAATTAACCGTTTACAACTGTGATGATCTTTCAGGTCCAAAGAAAGCTGGTGAAATTTGCTCCGACGAAGCTTTTTCCACAGCATGTCCCGGCATAAAAGGAAGTAATCATACCTGCGTGTTTCAGGTGTCAACGTCGACCTCCTTTATTCAAGAAACATCGACAACAGTTGAGATAACTGGAACATTGGCAAAAGACATCATAGGTGGAGCATCAGCAGAAATTTCTGGTGGTATTTCCCACACACGAAGTAACACGAAAATCTATAAGTACGAAGACAAATCATACCTCTTCATACCTGCAGGATATAGGTTTTGCTCATTTAGTATAGCCACAAGTAAGAGAGACGTCCTGGCCCCGACTGGGTATAAATATGAGTGCTCCGAAACTAACTTTCGTCAAACTGAGGTACATGGTGGTTGCTCGGGAGAAAAAAAGTGTGAAAAAAGACAATGCATTTCAAGTCAGCCAGCTGGCTCGAACGGTTCCGAAATTCTTAATTTTCAATTGGCTTTCTGCTTTGTCATACTTTGGTTTTTTCTTTCCATCTAATGTTGAACGTTTGTTGACAATATCCGCTGATTTTTTGAACTTATTTTTAGCCTAGATATAGTATTATTAATGTAGCTGTAAAGAGAATATAATGTTGCTTTGGACAAACGAGTTGCTTAATTTCATGGATAATCCCTAGATATGTAGTGTAATTAAGTAATCCAAGTATGGAGAAAACGTTTTGCATAGAAAAATTTGAAAGTAACTAAATGAACATGTAGTTTCTTTGGCATCAAAAATAGTCGTGTGTGATAAGTACAAAATCATTAGAAATTCGTTAGCCAATTACTTCATATTAATTCTTGTGCTTCTACATGTTTGACTAGATTAATTGCACTGCATAGACATGATTTGTTAGGAAATTCCCCTGTTCACTTTTACTGTCATTTAGGGAATTATGCTCCATCAAAACTGTAATTTCACGAAAAGGCAAAGGGAGGGGGGTGTCACATGCGCATTCATAGTCAATCAATGTACAGTATGACACTGACACAAACGACCGTGGTATCTTCAAGAAAGACTATCTTCAATGGAAATGTTCATCAATAACACCTGTTGAGTTGAGTACATTAAACAAGGGATCGGCAAAGGTTTTGATTTTCACTGTGGCAAACTGTGGCTGACTGCCACGGTCGATTTAAGTTACGCCAAAATATTTTTGAGCAGCTGTAACTCATCCGCCGACTAATAACTAAAATTTAAAATTGTTGCACAAGGTACGACAAATCTTTTTGAACATTAATCCCGTGAACCATTTCCATTTATAAAATAAAAACATTGATTGGCACATACCCCGTTTTACATTTACATGTGAAGTTCGACACCATCATTACACACTTTCCTTTGTGATGGCAGGGATTCGGCTGGCATCCCACGTGCTGACAGCTGTCTCCATGGTAACCCTCATGACAATGACACACTTCGCGCATGCTTAAACCATCTTGCAAAGCTATTAAAGATGAATAATAGATAAATGTATTGGAGAGGATTTCTGGTGGGAATAAAAATGATTCATTCAAAAAGAAATTTTTCAGAGACTTGTCTTTACAAAAGAGATGCGGTTGTATAAGACTAAAATGTCGATCAAAATGAGAGATAGAGATCTACATTAAAGAGGTATTCTGCATTAGAGAGATATGTCTGTATTATTGACAAATATCTGTTTTAGAGAAAGATATCTGTATTAGAGAGAAATCTGCATTAGAAAGAAAGGTCTGTGTTAGAGAGAGATGACAGTATTACAGAGAGAAGTCTGTGTTGTAAAGATAAGCCTGCATTAGTGAGAGATGTCTGTATTTTAAAGAAACATAAATGTTTTACAAAGAACAACATGCGAATCGACATGCATTTGTGAAAATTTCCCAAAATTAATCATCACGATCAAAGTAAGCAAGAAGAAACCTTGATCACTAACTGATACAAATCGAGAGTGGTCGATTCTCACAAAAATTTTCTCACAGCGAAATGTTTTTACATTACCGCACCTAGACAAGATTTCGATCTAAGAAACAAATCAAAATCGAGTCAAAATCATTCCACTTACAATGTAAAAGCAACTTACTATGACACCCAGGAACTACTGGTCTTTCGCATGATTCGGTCCCTGCCTTGCACAGCTATGCGTGAAACCAGAGCGAGCTGTGGGAGAGTTATTTCTAGACGTACATAACCAGCATTGCGATCAGACGAGCACCACGCATCTGGAAAAATACACCATGTTTTGGACATTTCATCATCGGTTTATATTTTATGCAGAGAAATACTGTTTTCGTTCTCTGTTGTTCATTCATCACTAATTACATTGACACACGTTATCTTTGTAGTAATGAATAAAAGAACAGCAAAGAACGGGAACAATCATTATATACATGCAGAATAAAATTAAAACTACGCTAGCTTTAAACGAGAACAGCCTGTACAATACCTAAAATATAAACTAAGATAATGTGTGTCAGTGTAGGTAGTGATGAATGAACAACAGAGAACGAGAACAGTCTTTACACAACATAAAATATAAACTAAGATAACGTGTTTCAGTGTAGGTAGTGATGAATAAACAGCAGAAAACGAAAACAGTTTTTAAACTAGCTAAATTATCAACTAAGATGACGTTTTTTATTGTAGGTAGTGATGAATTTTAACAATAGACAGCAATGAGAACAAGACCCGTTCTCTCCATCCCAAATCTCATCATCACGTGGACAGTAAACGAAAAAGCCGTATTCGAGTTAGAATTGGGCTAAAGGGCAGTGTATCAAATTATCATATATATATAAGTGTTTTCTTTACAAATCTTTTCAAAATATATATGCATAGAGCATGCAGGTAGAAAAGCTCACCATAACCGTTTAACCGCGCAAACTTTGGATCAGGCAAACCGGAGGGTGGGAACGCGCTTAAAAAAGAGTCGGGGATGAAACGATTTTGAATTCCAAGAGGCACCCAGGTATGCAGTTCTTTGGGCAGAAGCGAAACATGACTGAAGCAAAGTTCTTTTCATTTGCGTAAAGTGCACCGTGTGGACTCCTGCCTTGAGAGCGAATGTCTGAAAGAAATAAAATATCAGTAATGTTATATGTAATCCTCGACCAGAGGACAATTTCATCAACTATAAAATAAACATAATACGAAAAAGGACATCTTGTAAACTTAAATTAAAGTTATAAAACAAGACAATTAAAACTGTAATATTTCATTCTGTCTGGTGATGGTTTTGCAATAAACCGAAATAGAGCATAAACCAAGCCATAGAGCATATTCTCCAGCATGATGAATCTGAAAGTCATAGCTACCTATAAGGTCCCCATAGAGACCGCTGGCCAGTAACCGTGCCATACGCAGGACCTTAAAGACATAACAACGTCATGTTTCTACTATGGGAAATGAGCTCATTCAGGAAAGCAGTATCTGGAAATTGAATCATGAAAATTTAATTGGAATTCACACGCAATTATGGAAATTGAATTGGAATTCCCAATGAGACTTAAGCACACAAGAAGCCAAGTTTCGACATCAAATCATTGCAGATCAGTAATCAATGTAAACCAGTAGCAAAGCCAGTCCGTCTTGGACTATGTAAATATTTTTGTTTTCAACAACTCGAAAACAATAAAAGGAATTGATTTTCTAAAGAAATGAAAAATAATTTTGCTGACAAATTTGGATTGCAGGAGAAAAAGATCGTGTTGGCTTTGCTACTGCTCCTGATAAAAGCAATAAATCGTGTTTTATCAGGAATCAAGTTTCAATATTAGATTACTTCTGATGAAAATACTACATTGGAGTATAAAAAAGTAAAGTCGCAATGCCAGATATTACTGAAGAAGACATTGGATTGGAGTAGTACTCAAGTTTCGACATCAGATCACTCCCGATAAAGACACTAGAAAGAGGTACGTATATAAGGACTCAAATTTTAACGACGTTTACTCTTGACGAAGACACTAGATTGGACTACATAAGGAATCAGGTTTAACACCCAAACACTAAAATTAAGCATGCACTTTAGGACAAGTCGATGGTTAACACGTGTTCAATCCGCAATAACATATCAAATATATATTAAGACATCAAGATACCATAAACAGCAGCCTAAAGACAAAGTGCATCAACAAACCTTTAACATTTGGCAGGTTGGCAGGATGAAGACATCCGGCAGAAGGGATCCTGCGTTGCACGCACACTTTTGCATCCGTTGTGATCCTTCCTCTTTTTTCACACACCAATTGTATATCGTCAATGCTAACGTTTCCACGAGAGATATGATGTTTCCACGTTGACTTAGCAGCAAGGATGAACTGAAAGATGACGCCAGTAAGCCGAGGATATTTTGATAACTTCAGAAAACCCCGACGCCAAAAGTCTCCGCCTTGATCATCTCGCATCGTCCACTCTGAGGATTTTAAAACAATAGTGCTCTTTATGCATGAAAATTCCAAGGCAGTAAACCTGGAATTCAGTACTCACATCACACAAAATAACACGAATGTTTCTAAATGTAGATCGTTCAAAACCAACACTAATCATCACAAACACAACACCCACTGAGTATAACTTTCTGAACATGATAATCTCAAGCCCATAACATATTAGTCCTCAAACAATTTCAAATAGGCACAACAATAACACGTTATGTATGAGTTATTCCATGTCAAATCATTAAAGAGTTGTAAATATAAACTTCAAACGCTGCTCATTTTTACACCATCGGTAGATAAAGCATTAGACAGTCCCCGGTATTAAATATCTCTTCGAAGGCAAAAAGCTACGATTTGAACAGTGGAACTGATAAAATAATGAAGTTTCATTATCATGAAGTATGAATGGGGCATTTCGAGCTTCATGCAACCGACTCCGGATAGCAAATAACTCACCGGTATGTTTGGCTATGTCATCGTCCTCCAATACGAGAATCGTGAGATTTGCTTGTGGAATTCCAAACATTTTATATGCAAAAGAGAGGGTACAGAAACGACGAGGCGAAAACTTCGGACTGAGAAACTTCACTGAAAAAGCAGAGATAACCATTGAGTAGAATAAGAATGAAAGTAGAAAGTGCTGTTCCTATATATATATATATATATATACAATCTCATGATTACATGATCACCAAAAACCGGCAAATGACTAATGCTAGGACGTATATAAAGGTCTTTAGAAAGGAGGACTTGTGAATGAACGAATGAATGAATGAATGAAGGAATGAATGAATGAATGAATGAATGAATGAATGAATGAATGAATGAATGAACGAATGAATGAATGAATGAATGAATGAATGAATGAATGAATGAATGAACGAATGAATGAATGAATGAATGAATGAATGGATGGATGAATGAATGAGTGAATGAATGAATGAATGAATGAGTGAATGAGTGAATGAGTGAATGAATGAATGACTGAATGAATGAATGAATGAATGGATGAATGAATGAATGAATGAAGAAATGAATGAATGAATGAATGAATGAATGAATGAATGGATGAATGAATGAATAAATGAATAAATGAATGAATAAATGAATGAATGAATGAATGAATGAATGAATGAATGAATGAATGAATGAATGAATAAATGAATGAACGAACGAATGAATGAATGAATGAATGAATGGATGAATGAATGAATGAATGAATGAATAAATGAATGAATGAATGAATGAATGAATGAATGATGAATGAATGAATGAATGAATGAATGAACGAAGGAATGAATGAATGAATGAATGAATGAATGAATGAATGAATGAATGAATGAATGAATGAATGAATGAATGAATGAATAAATGAATGAATGAATGAATGAATGAATGAATGGATGAATGAATGGGTGAATGAATGAATGAATGAGTGAATGAATGAACGAACGAACGATTTATATTAACTAAAAGATATCAGTCCCTTGTTCTTTATACGAGAAAAACGAATTTTCCCTTTCCACTTTTCACGTGTTGAGGGATGCGAAAGTCGATTTGTGAGCAACGTGTTGAGAGGCTTTAGACGCGAATCTGTTGGTTTTTACCTGGAAATTCGGAGTGCAGAGAAAGCGCAAAGATGTAGAAAAAATCATTTGGCAGATTCCAACCAAAGTTATCGGAGGCATTGACGATTGTATTCTTAACACGTGACCAACTCTTGATTGGCAAAGAGTGCCATCCGCACATGTCTCTGGCAAAATCGCATTCCAAAACAGTTTCCCTCGTGGACACGCTGCAACCTAGGAGCGAAACAAATATACGAGACGTTTTACCACAAGAAACACGATGAAGGTTTCCTTATGAAGAGCGAGTCACCCCTTTTACATTTTATATAAAGTCTTCGTGAAGAATCGAAATCATTCATTTTCAAAAATCTACTTCGATATACACCAAATATTTCACACAAAGTATAGGCAGGGCATGCCAAATATATTGTGCGTTCCCGGATGATTACGTGCAGTTTTGTTATGCAGTAAAACGTGCGTGTCGACTAATATTTTTCAAGAGTGAGAGCATCAGTGGCTAAGTGCACGACCATTTATCCAACTGTTCAATGTATATCACATGACTGGTCTTGTTGCCCGACAATACTTTGCTGTGCTACAAACGTGTGATTAAGATCCAAGCAATGTTTGCTAAGAATCCTTCGCAAACTGGTTCTTACTCTCGAGCAAAGATTTCGACCTGATCGCCCAAAGCATTTGGTAGTAGAGAAAGACTAACGGCCCGTCTACACTGAACACGGATTCAAAAGTATACAGATTCGTTTATGGAGAACGCATCAATTGATCCCCGTCCACCCTATCCTTTTCGGTGCGTTTAATCTGTACTGAAAGCCTTGCGAGACATGTTTAGAAGTTTTCCTCGTGCTATAACAAAGTTTTGGGGACAAAAGTTTGCAAAAAGAAAATTGTGCCACCTCACGCTTTGAACCTAAATATGATTAACAAATTATCGAAAAGAGCGAGATCTTCTTCCTAACAGTGGATTAATAATAAAATAGAAGCAAATATTCTTAAATCAGGCCATGTTTATTTTGAGTATTGTGTTTTGTTGACTTCATAACGAATCCGCGTTAGTGTGGACGGTCGAGTCTCTAAAACTTGCCAACTATGGGGTTGCTTACGCAAGTGTTTAAAATGTTTATAAGACGGACATTAAGGATAGATAACAAGATATCTTCATGCCTCCATAAAGACATCTGACCTGAAGGTGCTTCTGTACTTAAACACAAACATAGATTCCACATGTTTCACATTGTGTTATAAGTGTATGCTCTTTAGTGAAGAAGGAGAATCCGAACTGCATCTACGCTTTTCCACCAATCATGGCCAATATCACAAGGCCAATACAATTTAAGTTACATCACATTAAAGTAAGATAACCTACACGGTCTATTTTAAAATTTCGCTTTGTGCGTGGTGAGAAAAAATTCGTATACAATCGAAAATCAAATAAAAGCAGATGAAAAACAAGAAATTACTATTGAGGATGTATTTCCTGTAATTGTGTGATATTTGTATTTGATATTGAGATAGTTCTTGTAAATTTATCCGAAAAGAACGTAGCGAATAAACTTCTACAAAACGTATGATACCAACTTCAACAATTTCGTGTTTTGAATCTCTTTCAATCTTTCCATTCACAACTTATACGTAGGAATTATAGCAATATACATGCGGCTGAAACATCTCAAGTACTTGCGCATGTGAAGAATATTGGTTTGATTTGCACTACAATGGGGGTTCAAAATACCGCATATATGGATTTCCTGCACAAACATTTAAACAAACAAATTCTCGGTGAATCAACTGATATTTGACTAAAACTGTGTAAAGACAGGTCTCATCAGTAAAATCATTCATCACTACCTACACCGACGCGCGTTATCTTAGTTTATAATTTAGGTAGTGTAAAGACTGTTTTCGTTCCCTATTGTTCATTCATCACTACCTACACTGACACACGTTATCTTAGTTCGAAACTGTGAAGACTGTTCTCATTCTCTTTAATTTATCCATAACTAAACTTCACCGTTATAAGTGATCACTAAATTTCACGCGTGACATGTAGAATAATTGGTTGGTCAATTTAGATAGAGTAAAAACTTTTCTCGTTCTCAGTTGTTCAATGATCACTGCCTTCATTGAAACATGTTGTATTAAGTTAATCTTTTAGGTAGAGTAAAGACTGTTCTCATCTCAGTTGTTCATTCATCCCTATCTACAGCGATAAACTTGACCTTCCTGTATATTTTAGGTAGTGTAAAGACTGCTCTCGTTCTTTGTTGTTCATTCACCACTATCTACACTGACACACCTTTAGTGCATACATTTGAAACACTGCATGGGTATCAAATACGCTGTTTGAATATAGCTATATGTATGCTCTGACACAAATTGTATGCCTGAGTGACGAAGGAATTGAAGAACTTTGCTGGGGCTACTATCACTAAACAAGATGCTGACAGCAAAGACCAAGTTACCCAAAGGCATTCGCCCATGCAGAGGTTGGCTATTCCAGTCTCGAACATAACCACAATGACATTTTGCTAGTATGTTAACCATTCTACCAGTCGTTTTCGTCACAATGGAACAGCTTTCACCACAAAAATATTACTGCACCATTCCAAGTTGCACCAAAAACATCATCGCAACTATGCTAAAGCAGAGATATCTCTGAAGAAATATCAAATCAAAGCAAATTTGAATAGAAATAGTGCCTGTTTTCTAATGTAATTCATGTATAGGACAAATTATTTTTAAGATATATCCTTCCTATTAATTAAAATTCTCATTCCTTTTTGTACATTCAATCTACAATGTGGATTGTTGGAAGAGTTAGCTGCAGGGGATGGCTGACAAAGGATTTAATATCCAGGATTTACTTGCCCTTCGACATGTCCGTTTAATTTCACCTCCAATTAAGCATAAAGGTAATGTTGGCACTGGTGCAACAACAATGACAAGGAGAGTGGCTACAAAGAGGATTCACATTGAAAGAATTATTCAACAACTGAAGTCATTTAGTATATTACAAGGTGTAATCCCATTAACAATGAAACCATATATTAATTCTGTTGCGTCTATCTGTGCAGCATTGGTTAATTTGCAACCACAGATTATTGCATCACCTTAAAAACATTGTACATAGAAGTTTTAAAAAATATACAATAAAATATTCCTTTGTGTTAGAGATAAACTTAAATCAATGCAGAGTAAACAATGTGTGCAAAGTTTTGTGCCATTTATTTCTTTCGATTGTGGCATCCTTGTTACTGAACCATTTATGTTCCATGACAATGAAATCATTGGGACATTTCTCATATTTTTCTATATTCTAAAAAATGTTGTGAGATTGAAAAAGTAAGCACTCTTCCCTATGTTATTGCATTGAGTATATCTTTCCTATTATTAAGCTCTAACTTGAAGAAACATGTAGTTTCCATAATTACCTTCAAAAAGTATTTAATGAAAAGTGATACAAAAACAGCACAGAGATTTGAAGAGATTTCCTGCTGTGGGACCTACCAAATAATGCATATAGCAAGATTTATTTGCACAATATATTTTATTGATGGCATGATAAGAACTCACTTTTAACAGATGAATGAGAATCTTGATCTTCGAATCCATTTACACTCCTTACTTGTAACACTATCCCTCTCCTCTAGAAGTAAGCAGATCATCAAGAGAATACAAAGCAGATGATACATGCTTACATCCACCATCTCTACCACCAAGACAACAGCAATACGCATCAAGCACACTGCCGCGATTAGACCCGTTTCCTTCCAATATAAACCATAAATCGTTAACGTCTTTACCATCTTTAGTCATTTCTTTCATTGCAGGCTTAACCTTGCATATATAAACATGGACCCCAGCATCTTGCCTTTATGCTGTTAGCAGACTCAACATATCCATCGTAAAACAAACGATAGTTCTCGAACGACTTATAGGCTGCAAGACCCTGCTTGTCGTATTCCGATGAATGATATATAAGATGATTAAATATATCAAAAACAAGCCGAACGGGGGTGAATTTTTAAAATCATTTGAAACATTAATCGTAAATGGATCCGGCAGCTCAACGTCATGGATGGTCAAACGACAACTTAAATTTACTTACTGCTCGGCTTTACTGACCTGCGGGATCAATGGAATGTTCATTTTTTCCACTGCACATGCAATGGCTGCTAGTCCCGGCTTCAGATAACTACTTGCGGTTATACCTCTACTCTGCAGTTAACTTTTAATTCTGGCATTTTCATAGTTTTGAATTTCTCTTCACGTAACCTTTCTTCCATTTAAGCGCTTATATTTTGAAATAAAGAAATGTTAAAATTTATTTTGCAAGAGAGCGAAACATATAGAGTCCTTAAATGTGACGTCACGTTACCATGGCGCTAGAAAATGTTCTAAGCAAAATATGTTCCTTTGTTTTGAATGTCTAAAGCTTTAATTATCCAGTGTAATCCCACAAAAGACAGTAAAAAAAAAACAGGAAAGGTTAAAGGATCATCCAAGGGATCAACTTTCGTCGAAGAAGTGTAAAGGACGCGGGTCAAACGAGCAAAATGGTTTACTGTTTTGCTCCTACATGTGGCCATTCGTCGGAGGACAACACTTGCAAGTTCTTCGCTTTTCCAAGCGCTACAAAGCAGAACGATGAGTACAAGAGATGGATTCGACTCATAAGGTATGAACTGATATTCAAAAAGAATTCCTTGATGGGTGAAAATTTGATGAATTACGTGATTTTAAGTGAGATTTACGGACTCTATTCAGGTGAAGAGTTGACATCAGGACATGAGGGAGAATCATCGAATGCTGAATTATAGAAGCTTCAGCTAGTTGTCTTTTTAACGGTCGCTTTGTATTTTCCGTAGCCAAAACCTCAAATCTTAGTGTTTTGGAAGGTATAATCCATCAATTTTGAGGATCAAATTTTTGTCACTTTAATGAAAGTACGACAGAACTACACACAGCTTCACCTAACCCAATTGTTTCATTGTAGTGTGGCCACAATTTCTAACATTGTTATAACATTCACTCATTGTTATAACATTCACTCATATTGAGGTTGCTGCACTGGGATTGATGAGTCAGCAAAATGCAACCTATTTCTCATACAGAGGAATGAATTCCTTTAAGGTAATAGTTGGTGTTGCACCAAATGGAGTCATTACTAATGTCAGTCGGCTGTATCCAGGTTCTATTTCAGACAAGCCCATTGTGCAACAGTCTGGACTCCTTAATCACTTGACAGCTGGAGATATGAGTCTGGCGGACAAGGGTTTCCTTATCCAGGATGTTGTACCACATGGTGTCTGTGTCAATATTCCACCTTTTCTGAATAATGGAACTTTCACAGAGAGTGAGGTCAAGAAAACAAAAGCCATAGCTAAAGCACGGATTCATGTTGGAAGAGCCAATGCTAGGCTGAAAGACTTCAAAATTTTAGGCGTCATTCCTTTGTATTTGCACTGCTATGCTGACATTTTGTTTCAGTTATGTGCAGCACTTGTAAATTTGCAATTTCCTCTCATCAAAGAGGGATGCGAAGATATGGTTTTTGAGTAGTTTTATGCTTGAAGACTACATTGGACAGTTTTTTAATAATTTTTGTTGTTCAAATAGAAATAAAATAATTTGTAGACTGAGGCTTACTTAGAAGAAAATACAGCTAGAGGGGTGTGGGGCTGGAAGCATTCTAATATAACAGTAAAGGGATGATTTTACCTCCTAGGGATTACAATATTTATCATCTGGTACAGCCTGGGTGTACATAGGGTGTCAAATTAGATCACTGCGAGAATTCTTTTATCATGTTTAGGAGAACAGAAGTTAAAAGAAGTTTTGACGTATGTTTTACAATGGATGTCTTTTGGGGAATAAAAATAAAAGCAAGTACTGCCCACAGTTACCCTTAAGGATCTTTCTGAACATTTCCCATGAGCATCCCATCACTTTTATATGGGAATTTCCCTTCCCCCCAGGAAAACAACATTAAATGATGTACCATATTTCCATGTCTTTTAAATACCATGTTATCCTTGTGTTTATTAATAAAAACGCAAATATATGTATAGTCTGTTACCACAACTCCCTCACGCCAAACTAGTAGTGGTAGGTCAATTTGAGGACTGAAAACCGGCGAGTATCATTATTTTTAAAACAAATCGTTCATTAAAAAGCCTTTTTTATTTCACTACAAGAGAAAATCACGCCCTCGTGTTCATTTGGGCAACAAAAACAGTGTAAAACTTAATCTTGACATTTGGCATTCACCGTCACTTTATAAACCTTTTGTTTCATTCTTGCGTGTACTTCTCCTCATAAAACATTCTGCTGATAAGTAAATGCTTCAATATGATCTGACTTAAGTGGTTTCCCCCCTTTTTTATAGATTTCATTTCTTCTGAGAAGAAAGAAAAAAGCGAAGCGATGGATAATGTCTCCATTTTAAATTGAACTGAGATTTTAGCACCATGGAAACGTGACGTCACCACTTAAGGACTCTATTTAGATATAGCAAATTAGTCATTGTTATAACTTCCGCCATGTTTGTCCGAGTTTTCACTTAGCGAGCACGTGTTTTATTCAAATAAAAGCGCCAAAGTGGTGTCTAATAACAATGACTAATTTGCTATATGAAATAGAAATATGTTTCGCTCTCTTGCAAAATAAATTGTAACATTTCTTTATTTCAAAATATAAGCGCTCTCGCTTGTCGCTATGATATTTCTCCCCAGGAAAATGTAAAAAAAATACTTTGCTTCTACTTGCGTCTCGTTTTAAACGATCAGGATACCGCGAATCGATTTTGCAGGTTCCCCAAACGCACCTCTTCGTCGTAACCATTGCTAATAAAATTACTCCGCCATGTTTGTCAGAGTTTTTCTCTTTAGCAAACACGTGTTTCCACATATATGAAAACATATATGAAACGGTGAGCCTTGATGTGGGCTGCATTTAGCTTTGTTAACACAAAGGTGGTTCAATGTGTAAGCTTATTAAATCACTGCTTCTGTCATGGCGTTTTGGGCTGTTGTACTATTCATCCATGTTTGGATGTTGCTCGTTGTTGAACGACGATTTGAGAAATGCTGCCTTTGCCGATCCAGACTTTAGCCATTCATTTGTTTTGCGATCAAACAATGTAAGTGATTCCTTCAGAGAGATACTGACCGGTCGCAATCAGATGCCATTTCACATTAGAGTGCATTCCAAGGTACTTAGCGGAGTGAACGCTGGATTTTTCTTTGAAGCTGTTGGTGCTATTCAAGTTTCTGCAGAACCTGAGAATCATCCATTTGGAGGGTTAGTCTTTGCTTACGATAGAAGACGTGTAAGGATATGGGCTCCTTCACTTTTTGAAGAAACTGGCTCAAACGGACAAATCATAGTTGTTGGAAAAGACTGGGGTGGTCAAAGTTACAGTCAAACATATGAGAAAGCACTTGTTGTTGTTCACATTTGGTATACTGGCCCTTCCCCAACATTTCAAGCCAACACAATAGTAAACACGGCCGATCCAAAACATGTCTTTGTAAAAATCAACCATAATCTTGAGCAGATACCAGAACGTGTCATGGTCAGAGTGACCCCCTACTCAACCAGTGACTCCATTCCCAATCATGGTTTTTGGTTCAATGGCATAACTGCAAGTCAAAATTCAAAGAAAGAAGGATATGGAGGGGTGATTTTTGCATATGACACAAAAAGTATTTTGCTGTGGGTTCCCAGCTCTAACACCAAAAGGACAGGCTGCATATTTGTGGGAAACAAATGGGGTCGTGGACGGTATGCGGAGAATACTCAGAAATGCATGGTCCATATTTTTGCATGGGTTTTGAAGTTTCCTGTTCCTTCATTCAAGACCGAATGGTATGCCATGATCTCTCAAGGCCGAAATCCTTATGAAACTTTTTTGGAGGTGAATCACAACTTGAACAAACTGCCACTGCTTGTGGTTGTTCAGGGCCAAATAGGCACTAATGGCCTCATCTTTGAGGGTACAGGAACAGTCATGTCATCTGAAAACAACACCGGAGGCTATGGAGGCATATTGTTTGCCTATGATGAAAACTATGTTCGTGTTTGGTTACCAAAGAGGTACAAGGAGGATACCAGGGGATATGGTATACTTGTGAAAGAGGGTTGGGGGGATGGCCACATGCTACAGGCTGTCCATAAAGTGTCCATCCGTGTTATTTTGTATTCGTCAATCTGTGATCAAAAGATGCACATGATAACAGATAATGGTGAATGCAAAGCCATGCCTTATAACTCCTTTCAATGGGTTATTGGACCATGGAGCAAGTGTTCAAGTATCTGTGATAAGGGTGTAAATCATCGGGAAATTTTAGGTAAGAATATGAACATACACTCCCCCCCCCCTCAATTAACATTGCTGTTACGCCCTTGATGTGGGTGGTAAAAAATGAGCAAAAGAATGAGACAGTGTTTATACTACCGTCAACTGGGGTTATTTGGGACTGTTTTTACATATACATTTGAAATAATGTACCAAGGCATGAAGTATGAATAGAGGTTTTGGTGGTAAAAGTTGAATAAATAATCACAGTTTTCCATCATCCTCATTACTGCATCATTCATTTTATTTTGTCTCTACACTTTTTAAAAATATGCTTGAGTCCCAAATTATCCCATGTGGACAAAACTGGGACAGCCTTTGATTTTGCTATATATTCTTAGTTTTTACCAGCCTGGATTATATGGGACTTTTTATGTTTTATAATGTTCTCCCAGTTATGTTTTTCTTATGTGCAAGCTTCTAGGGTAAATTGGAAAAAGGGTACACTTCAGGAAAAATACACTTTAACTACAATTAGCCAAGTAATTACAGATCAGAAATCATAAATATCCGTATTTCAATTTTAAATCGTAACTAAGTAACATACAACATGGCAGCCTTCGAAGCAGTGCCACATGGCAGAGCTTTGAAGAAAAAAGTACAAGCTTTAAGAGGTGTGGTTCATCCACGGATGTCCCAAATTACCCCGTGCAAACCTCTAAGTCAACAACTATCCTCTGACGAAAATACTTGTCCTCAGAAAACTAAACCGTTCATCTTAAATTTCAAAGAGATACGTAGTGTAACAAAAATTACAGTGTTTGTAAATTTTACTATTTTCGAAGCGTCGCAACAGCACAATTTTTTTCGTGTCTTGAAAAATGCAGCAAATTCAACAAATATCAAAAATACAAGAATCATGAGATAAAATATTACTATTCAAATGTTTCACTCAACTGAGCAAAGAAAAAAAGCTTACTGGCTTTGTGCAAAAGGAATTTTTTAAATAAATCAACTGAGTGCTTGTCAAAGAGTATGGAATGCAAAGAATTAAATATTCGTCCCAATTTACACCACTGTCCCAAATAACCCCAGTTGACGGTATCTAAAATATAAACTAAGATCACGTGTCAGTGTAGGTAGTGACGAATGAACAACAGAGAAAGAGAGAACAGTCTTTACACTACCTAAAATATAAACTGAGATAACGTGTGTCAGTGTAGGTAGTGACGAATGAACAAAAGAGAACGAGAATTGTCTTCACACTTCTTAAGATATAAACTAAGATAACGTGTGTCAGTGTAGTTAGTGACGAATGGACAAAAGAGAACGAGAGAACAGTCTTTACATTACCTAAAATATAAACTAAGATAACGTGTGTCAGTGTTGGTAGTGATGAATGAACAACAGAGAACGAGAATTGTCTTCACACTTCTTAAGATATAAACTTAAATAACGTGTATATGTGTAATTAGTCCGTTGCAATGACGCACTAAAATACAAGCGAACGACAATTGTTATGACTAACACGACAAAGTATTTCTTCACTTCGGTAATTTGCTTTGGAGTAATGCAGCGAATTAATTTGGGTAAAAAAGCTGTTTGGGCATAACAAAGAATTCGCCTCAAAAACCTAATATTCTTTTACAATATTATTCGTTATATTCATTCCGGTATATAATTCTAACAAGCTTCTATCAATTCTGGATTTGTGACGAGCAACTGCAAGGATTATCGATTGATTTCAATCTGACTCCAACCGTCACACCAATATACATTTTCACGGTCAGAATTCAAAGAGTCTGTAATGGCCATTTGACCAGGTGGATCTGTCGTAATTAGATCAATTAGAGACATATTTTTGTGCAATCGATGTCATATCTAGAGTAGCGACCACGTATTTATCATTACCTTCGTACAATTGAATTTTCTTGCACACAGAACAGTATCACAAACTATATTTTTGTTGAGATGAACGAACAACAAAGAACGAGAGTCTTTACACTGCCTAAAATATACAGGAAGGTCAAGTTTATTGTTGTATATAGGGATGAATGAACAACTTGGGATGAGAACAGTTTTTACTCTACCTATATAAAAGCTAAGATAACGTGTGTCAGTGTAGGTAGTGGTGAATGAACAACAAAGAACGAGAGCAGTCTTTACACTACCTAAAATATACAGGATAAATGGTCGTGCACTTAGCCACTGATGCTCTCACTCTTGAAAAATATTAGTCGACACGCACGTTTTACTGCATAACAAAACTGCATGTAATCATCCGTGAACGCACAATATATTCGGCATGCTCTGCCTATACTTTGTGTGAAATATTTGGTGTGTATTGAAGTAGATTTTTGAAAATGAATGATTTCGATTCTTCACGAAGACTTTATATAAAATGTAAAAGGGGCGACTCGCTCTTCATAAGGAAACCTTCATCGTGTTTCTTGTGGTAAAACGTCTCGTATATTTGTTTCGTTCCTAGGTTGCAGCGTGTCCACGAGGGAAACTGTTTTGGAATGCGATTTTGCCAGAGACATGTGCGGATGGCACTCCTTGCCAATCAAGAGTTGGTCACGTGTTAAGAATACAATCGTCAATGCCTCCGATAACTTTGGTTGAATCTGCCAAATGATTTTTCTACATCTACACGCTCTGCACTCCGAATTTCCAGGTAAAACCAACAGATTCGCGTTTAAAGCCTCTCAACACGTTGCTCACAAATCGACTTTCGCATCCTCAACACGTGAAAAGTGGAAAGGGAAAATTTGTTTTCTCGTATAAAGAACAAGGGACTGATATCTTTAGTTAATATAAACCGTTCGTTCGTTCATTCATTCTGTCATTCATTCTTCCATTCTTCCATTCATTCATTCATTCATTCATCATTCACATCCATTCATTCATTCATTCATTCATTCATCATTCATCATTCATTCATTCATTCATCCATATTCATTCATTCATTCATTCATTCATTCATTCATTCATTCATTCATTCATTCATTCATTCATTCATTCATTCATTCATTCATTCATTCATTCATTCATTCATTCATTCATTCATTCATTCATTCATTCACTCACAAGTCCTCCTTTTTAAAGACGTTTATATACGTCCTAGCATTAGTCATTTGCCAGTTTTTGGTGATCATGTAATCATGAGATTGTATATATATATATATATAGGAACAACACTTTCTACTTTCATTCTTATTCTACTCAATGGTTATCTCTGCTTTTTCAGTGAAGTTTCTCAGTCCGAAGTTTTCGCCTCGTCGTTTCTGTACCTCTCTTTGCATATAAAATGTTTGGAATTCCACGTGCAAATCTCACGATTCTCGTATTGGAGGACGATGACATAGCCAAACATACCGGTGAGTTATTTGCTATCCGGAGTCGGTTGCATGAAGCTCGAAATGCCCCCCATTCATACTTCACGATAATGAAACTTCATTATCTTTTGGTGTTTAAAGTTTTATTTTATCAGTTCCACTGTTCAAATCGTAGCTTTTGCCTTCGAAGAGATATTTAATACCGGTGACTGTCTAATGCTTTATCTACCGATCGTGTAAAAATGAGCAGCGTTTGAAGTTTATATTTACAACTCTTTAATGGTTTGACATGGAATAACTCATACATAACGTGTTATTGTTGTGCCTATTTGAAATTGTTTGAGCGCTAATATGTTATGGGCTTGAGATTATCATGTTCGGAAACTTATACTCAGTGGGTGTTGTGTTTGTGATGATTAGTGTTGGTTTTGAACGATCTACATTTAGAAACATTAGTGTTATTTTGTGTGATGTGGGTACTGAATTCCAGGTTTACTTCCTTGGAATTTTCATGCATAAAGAGCACTATTGTTTTAAAATCCTCAGAGTGGACGATGCGAGATGATCGTGGCGGAGACTTTTGGCGTCGGGGTTTTCTGAAGTTATCAAAATATCCTCGGCTTACTGGCGTCATCTTTCAATTCATCCTTGCTGCTCAGTCAACGTCGAAACATCATATCTCTCGTGGAAACGTTAGTATTGACGATGTACAGTTGGTGTGTGAAAAAAAAGGAAGGATCACGACGGATGCAAAAGTGTGCGTGCAACGCAAGATCCCTTCTGCCGGATGTCTTCATCCTGCCAACCTGCCAAATGTTAAAGGTTTGTTGATGCACTTTGTCATTAGGCTGCTGTTTATGGTATCTTGATGTCTTAATATATATTTGATATGTTATTGCGGATTGAACACGTGTTAACCATCGACTTGTCCTAAAGTGCATGCTTAATTTTAGTGTTTGCGTGTTAAACCGATTATGTAGTCCAATCTAGTGTCTTCGTCAAGAGTAAACGTACGTTAAAATTTGAGTCCTTATATACGTACCTCAGTCTAGTGTCTTCATCGGGAGTGATCTGATGTCGAAACTTGAGTACTACTCCAATCCAATGTCTTCTTCAGTAATATCTGGCATTGCGACTTTACTTTTTTATACTCCAATGTAGTATTTTCATCAGAAGTAATCTAATATTGAAACTTGATTCCTGATAAAACACGATTTATTGCTTTTATCTGGAGCAGTAGCAAAGCCAACACGATCTTTTTCTCCTGCAATCCAAATTTGTTAGCAATCAATTATTATTCATTTCGGTTTTGAAAATCAATTTCATTTATTGTTTTCGAGTGGTTGAAAACAATAATCTTCTGACATAGTAAGACGGACTGGCTTTGCTACTGGTTTTCCCTGATTACTGATCTCACTGATTTGATGTCGAAACTTGTTTTCATGTGCTGTAAGATCTCCCTGAATGATGCTTTTAACAATTGTTTGTAATTCCGTTTTAAAACATATAGATTCCAAATTTTCCTTTGAAACAATGACTTTTTCATACAGCTTTCTTACATGACCTTTTACTGAGGGACGTTGAACCATGGTCTTATTTTATGCTGTTATAAAAGGTTTTACTACTATATTAAGAACAAACAATTTTTACACAGCTTTACATGACCTTAGAGGTAGTCTTTGAACTTGGTCTTATTTTTAAGCTGGAAAATATTTTCCATGGCTTGTAGTATATTTATACATGGACAATAGCGCACTTTTGTGCGCTCAGAACGATGTACCATGGTATACCATTTTCATTAATATGGGACGGCCTATGTGGCAACAATTTGTTCACGAGGTATAAAGTTCTAGTTCTCGTTCTCTGTTGTTCCTTCATTCATCACTAATTACACTGTCGCACGTTATCTTAGTTTATATTTTAGCTACATAGTGTAAAGACTGTTGTTGTTCTCTTTTGTTCATTCATCACTGACACACGTTATCTTAGTTTATATTTTACATAGTGTAAAGACTGTTCTCGTTCTCTTTTGTTCATTTATCACTACCTACACGGACATACGTTATCTTAGTTTATATTTGAGATAGTGTAAAGATTGTTCTTGTTCTCTATTGTTCATTCATCACTATCTACAATGACACACGTTATCTTATAGTTTATATTTTAGCTTACATTACGTATAAAATAAACCATAGTCCAAAAAAGGACATCTTGTAAACTTAAATTAAAGTTATAAGAGAAGACAATTAAAACAGCAATATTTCGGTTTATTGCAAAACCATCACAAGACAGAATGAAATATTACAGTTTTAATTGTCTTGTTTTATAACTTTAATTTAAGTTTACAAGATGTCCTTTTTCGTATTATGTTTATTTTATAGTTGATGAAATTGTCGTCTGGTCGAGGATTATATATAACATTACTGATATTTTATTTCTTTCAGACATTCGCTCTCAGGGCAGGAGTCCACACGGTGCACTTTACGCAAATGGAAAAGAACTTTTGCTTCTTCTCAAAGAACTGCATACCTGGGTGCCTCTTGGAATTCAAAATCGTTTCATCCCCGACTCTTTTTTAAGCGCGTTCCCACCCGGCGGTTTGCCTGATCCAAAGTTTGCGCGGTTAAACGGTTATGGTGAGCTTTTCTACCTGCATGCTATATGCATATATATTTTGAAAAGATTTGTAAAGAAAACACTTATATATATATATGATCGTTTGATACACTGCCCTTTGGCCCAATTCTAACTCGAATACGGCTTTTTCGTTTACTGTCCACGTGATGATGAGATTTGGGATGGAGAGAACGGGGTCTTGTTCTTATTGCTGTCTATTGCTAAAATTCATCACTACCTACACTAAAAAACGTCATCTTAGTTGATAATTTAGCTAGTTTAAAAACTGTTTTCGTTTTCTGCTGTTTATTCATCACTACCTACACTGAAACACGTTATCTTAGTTTATATTTTATGTTGTGTAAAGACTGTTCTCGTTCTCTGTTGTTCATTTATCACTACCTACACTGACACACGTTATCTTAGTTTATATTTTATGTTGTTTAAAGACTGTTCTCGTTCTCTGTTGTTCATTCATCACTACCTACACTGACACACATTATCTTAGTATATATTTTAGGTATTGTACAGGCTGTTCTCGTTTAAAGCTAGCGTAGTTTTAATTTCAGTCTGCATGTATATAATGATTGTTCCCGTTCTTTGCTGTTCTTTTATTCATTACTACAAACTAAGATAACGTGTGTCAATGTAATTAGTGATGAATGAACAACAGAGAACGAAAACAGTATTTCTCTGCATAAAATATAAACCGATGATGAAATGTCCAAAACATGGTGTATTTTTCCAGATGCGTGGTGCTCGTCTGATCAAAATGCTGGTTATGTACGTCTAGAAATAACTCTCCCACAGCTCGCTCTGGTTTCACGCATAGCTGTGCAAGGCAGGGACCGAATCATGCGAAAGACCAGTAGTTCCTGGGTGTCATAGTAAGTTGCTTTTACATTATAAGTGGAATGATTTTGACTCGATATTTGATTTGTTTCTTAAATCGAAATCTTGTCTTGTGATTCGTTATTACCATATTTTTCAACACACTTCCCGATTTGTCCTTGCAATCAACACTCGTACATAATAATGCCAGCGCATGAATTTGATTCCATAATTGACAGCAGTATAAGTGGGCAGAGTTATATATTTGTCCTCGCAATCAGCAGCAGTATAAGAATGCATTGCTCTGTATTTTGTTTGTAGTTTCTACATGAAAGTATCAGTGGATGGAGAACACTCCTCTTGGTACCGTGCGTCTTCACGCAGAAAAGGTTTCCATGCGAATTCAGGTATAATTGCTTCATATCGTTTTATATGAAGTTGTTCTTGAAATATTCGACGATGTTTTTTCGCGGGTGTTAGACTTTTTCTCACCACTGTCTTTCCAGATGTAGGCCGCCACCTCGGTTTACGATCGAGTTTAATTATATAGCTATTGAAGTTTGTGTCGATGAAATTTTTTACTGTTTAAGATTCAAGTGGCATCGTTGAACACGAGCTTCCATTTGCCGTTCTCGCCAAGAAGATCATGATCTTTCCATACAAATGGGCGAACTGGATCTGTATGAGAACAGAGCTGTATGGCATTTATATAACGGATAACATGTGCGCTGCAGCTGATGGGGAAACTGTGACGGCACGGGAGTGTCGAGGTGATAGAAATTGTAGCCTCAATGCCGACTGCAAACCACTGAAAAACGACAGCATCATCAAAACAAGTAGGTGCGGTGATGTAAAAACATTTCGCTGTGAGAAAATTTTTGTGAGAATCGACCACTCTCGATTTGTATCAGTTAGTGATCGAGGTTTCTTCTTGCTTACTTTGATCGTGATAATTAATTTTGGGAAATTTTCACAAATGCATGTCGATTCGCATGTTGTTCTTTGTAAAACATTTATGTTTCTTTAAAATACAGACATCTCTCACTAATGCATGCTTATCTTTACAACACAGACCTCTCTCTGTAATACTGTCATCTCTCTCTAACACAGACCTTTCTTTCTAATGCAGATTTCTCTCTAATACAGATACCTTTCTCTAAAACAGATATTTGTCAATAATACAGACATATCTCTCTAATGCAGAATACCTCTTTAATGTAGATCTCTATCTCTCATTTTGATCGACATTTTTGTCTTATACAACCGCATCTCTTTAGTAAAGACAAGTCTCTGAAAAATTTCTTTTTGAATGAATCATTTTTATTCCCACCAGAAATCCTCTCCAATACATTTATCTATTATTCATCTTTAAAAGCTTTGCAAGATGGTTTAAGCATGCGCGAAGTGTGTCATTGTCATGATGGTTACCATGGAGACAGCTGTCAGCACGTGGGATGCCAGCCGAATCCATGCCATCACAAAGGAAAGTGTGTAATGATGGTGTCGAACTTCACATGTAAATGTAAAACGGGGTATGTGCCAATCAATGTTTTTATTTTATAAATGGAAATGGTTCACGGGATTAATGTTCAAAAAGATTTGTCGTACCTTGTGCAATAACTTTAAATTTTAGTTATTTGTCCGTGGATGAGTTACAGCTGCTCAAAAATATTTTGGCGTAACTTAAATCGATCGTAGCAGTCAGCCACAAGTTTGCCACAGTAAAAATCAAAACCTTTGCCGATCCCTTGTTTAATGTACTCAACTCAACAGGTGTTATTGATGAACATTTCTATTGAAGATAGTCTTTCTTGCAGATACCACGGTCGTTTGTGTCAGTGGCCCTGTCCAGTTGGAAAATATGGTAAAAACTGCACGCAAGCTTGTCAATGTAGTCGTCATGGTAGCTGTAACATTGTCACTGGTCATTGCGCCTGCGAGCCCGGTTATTATGGATTGCGATGTGAACGCGGGTGCCCTCGTGGTTATTTTGGAGTGGACTGTCGAGAGAAATGTCAGTGCGTCAATGATGCTGGTTGCGACAATGTTAATGGAACTTGTAACTGTTCCACAGGTTGGATTCTTTTTTAATATCGTTTTTGCTCTATAAAGATCTCATACTCTTTGTTGATGATGTTCGAAATTATATAATTGTTACATAATAATGCGAACACTCTTACAGTTTACACAATCTTGATACTAGTACTCGCGTTTTATCAAGTGAACGTATTCACGACAAAAAAGTCGACGTCTTTTTATTCACGACAAAAAAGTCGACGCAATCATCGTATGTCGAGCAGAAAAACTATACCACGTTTTAAACTCAAGTTGAAGGCGTGTTTTTGTAGATTTGGCTTAAACACTAAGCTCGAGTTAATGAATTACTTTAAGAAAAAGGCGTGACTCAATGTTCGCAACATTGGTCGAGTCGAGAGCAATACATTGCATAAAATAAAAAAAAAACACCAGTTAAAGACATATTTCCTTTCAAATTTTATCTATGGGTCTTTAAAGAATTGAATCTTCGCTTGGAGTTTGAAGCATTGTTGATTCACAGTGTTTCTTTGCATTATTTTTTGCTTATTCTTTACCCTTAGAAGCACTATTGCATTGTTTTTTCCAATGTTGAGGTGTAATTTAGGAATATTGATTTGAATCAAAAGCGAATATTATCATCTTCGTATTTTGAAAGCTCAAATTTTGACTTAGAAAGATGATGTTCTAGAGAGTTTGCGTCGTATTATAGTTCGTTGCCTTGTCTCCTGGAAAAAAATTTGCATTTTAATGTTGTAAAATAACCCACATTAGGCATAAAGTCAATTATTTGAACCCAGAAGTATCGTTACATGTTTATAGATTTAGATCATCTACTTCATTGCAGTCCAGAGAAGAACTGTTGGTGTTGGTATTCACTGACGTTACGGCAGAGTCTAGGGAATCTGAAGATGACTCCTGCTAAGGTTGTCGAAATGTCAATCTATACCAACACCAACAGTCCATCTTAGGACTGCACTAACCTGGACGATGAGCCTCTTTAAACATGTATCTTACTGGTATTTTAACTATTATCATATTTTTAGGTTGGACTGGAGAATTTTGTGACAAGCTGTGTGAGAATGGCACGTGGGGGTTGCACTGTGAAATGGTGTGCCATTGCTCTGAAAACGCCTTGTCATGTGATCCTCTGACCGGTGAATGTGTGTGTCAGCCTGGAGCGAGGGGAAAGTATGTAAATTATATTTTGAATATATCTGAACTTAGGCATATTTTGATATACTATGAGTCATGGTCTGACTTCGATACTGGTGTACTTGTTGTACTTTACTCTGTTCTATATGTTAGGTTTGGTCTGATTTTAAAGCTAGAGATTTTATATACGTACTCGTGTCTTTAACTAGAATGATCTGATGCTAATTTGAGTCGTTATACACTCTAGTTTAGTGCCTTCATTAGGAGTGTTCTGATTTGGCAATTTTAATCGTTGTATACTCCAGGCTGTTGCCCTCATCAGAAGTGATGTAATGCTTGAACTTGAGTCTTTATATTCGCCACTCTACTGTCTCGTTCAGAGGTGATCTGATGTTGAAATCCGAATTTTTATATACACCAGTCTATTGTGTCTTCATCAGGAAAATGTCAAAATGAAAATTCAATCTAGTGCTTTGTCAGTATTGTCATGACAACTTTACTCGCTAAACCTTTACTCCTTTTGTTAATGACAGAACGTGCGATGAGAAGTGTCCTTTTGGTACCTATGGTCTAGATTGTTCTGGTGTCTGTCAATGTAGTGTTCATGGTGTTTGTAATGTCACCGATGGCAGTTGTACTTGCGTATCTCCCGGCTTTACTGGCGTTCTATGTGACCAACGCTGCTCAAATGGTTTCTATGGTCTTCAGTGTAAAGAGAGATGTCGTTGTGCCTCCAATGCCGAATGCGATTTTGGTGAGGATGTGTGTATATTGATATATTTAATATGTTATCTGAAATTTAAATACCTGCTCGAACTACATTTTCCATTTTTGATAAGCTGAAACCAGATGTGTGAAATCACTGTCAAGAGAAAACATAAGCCATCGTCGTCATCGTTAGTTTCGAATTTTGGCTCGTAATTTACCTGATGAGACGGCTGATGTTACTATTATTCAACTCAAAATATTCAATGAGTAAAATAACTTTATAGAAAACGATAAATGCAGTTGGTTATTTTAATCATCAAATCCTCCAGTGCAATCGCAGAGATATCATCAGTTACTTCTTTAATGGAATTTTATATTCACGTATCTCTTATGAGATGCTTACTTTTAAACGACTGACGTATCGATACCGTCGACATTTTAGTTTCGGTATGTGTATGTGTGGCAATGGTTTTATGGTAGTAACTGCTCTCGACCTTGTCAACCTGGTCGTTGGGGTGCTGGTTGCCGACACGTTTGTGGTTGTAAAAATAACGCAACGTGTGACAGGTACGGCCTTTGGTGTATGGTTTTATCTTTTTTGATGTATAGGTATAGAGGGTTGTTATCAACCAATCATTCTACATGTCACGCGTGAAATTTAGTGATCACTTATAACGGTGAAGTTTAGTTATCGATAAATTAAAGAGAATGAGAACAGTCTTCACAGTTTCGAACTACGATAACGTGTGTCAGTGTAGGTAGTGATGAATGAACAACAGAGAACAAGAACAGTCATTGCACTACCTAAAATATTAAATGAGGTAACGTGCGTCAGTGTAGGTGTGATGTTTGAACTACAGAGAACGACAACAGTCTTTACACTGCACAAAATTCTGAGATTGAAGAATGACCTCAAAAAAGCGCACAAAAATCAAAGCAGAAAATAAAGTGATGTCATTCGGGAACTATTTACGAATGAAGTCATGATAAAGTCATCAACTTCCAACGCAATGTATAAAATAAACATTATGAAACGCGTGCGCTGATTGGTCTAGAGCTGTGTTTGCATTAGCAAAACCTCTTCAGCAGGTGCAACCCTCGACCTTCGGTCTCAGGCTTGCACTGTCTGCTCTTGAGTTCTCCCAAAGGTCTCCTCGGTTTGCATAAGCCTGTGCAAACACAGTAAACATCTTTCTTAAGTATATTACTCGAATGGATTTTGTGCATTTTATGTGCGACTCAACAATGAAGAAATATTGCTGATTTTATGCGGGAGTTTTGCAAATTTAATGGCGTCATCAGTCCCATGAGATACAAACATTTACAAAAATGCTCTCAGGCTTTAAATAAATACTAGCAACCTAAAGTCTTGATGCATATGCTTAAAGGTTTGGCTAAGCACTTCCTTCGTTTGAGCATTTACCTTGTCTATATGATTGAACAACAGAAATGAGAACAGTGTATACACTACACAAAGTATACACTGAGATAGTGATAAATGAAAAAGAGAGAACAATACAGATTTTTCATCACCTACGTGGTAGCAATAAATGAAGAGCGAAAATTTTCATTTTGTCAACTGTTTTTAGCATTACCGGTGACTGTGAGTGTAAATCTGGCTGGCATGGTCCGTTCTGCGACAGTAAATGTCCAAACGGCTTGTGGGGCTCATCATGCAACCTCACCTGCGATTGTCGAGGTCGTGGCTTTTGTGATTCTCGTAATGGACAATGTTTGTGTGATCGTGGCTGGACAGGACCGAACTGTACGAATAGATGTCAAAATAACACGCATGGACGAAACTGCCAACAAAAGTAAGACTTTCTTCGCTTGCGGATGGAAGTTTAATGAAGTGTAATTTATGTCAACAAAGAAGAGTTTAGGTCTTTATAATCTGAAGTTTGTCGTAATGGACCTGCTAACCGAAACATTGATTTTCAAATTTCTGTTTTCTTTTGAAAATATTTATTTTCGTAGATGCTCATGTTTGAATGGTGCGCAATGTGATCCCTTCAATGGCACGTGCACATGTTCACCAGGTTGGTATGGTCGCACCTGTGCGCAGGCCTGTCCCTCCGGTTATTTTGGCAAAGGATGTAACAAGAAATGCGAATGTGCTAATGGAGCGTCGTGTGATCCAGTGCACGGCACGTGTTCGTGTACTGCTGGTTGGAGAGGTAGAAACTGCTCTCGCACCTGTTCATCTGGCTTATTTGGCACCGAATGTGCTCATTCTTGTCGCTGTGGTCATCACGTGGACGTATCGTGTAACCACGTGACTGGAGAATGTTTTTGTGCTGCGGGTTACACTGGTCCTAGGTTAGTAAGTGTTACATGTAACCACGTGACTAGAGTTTTGTGCTAAAATTCAGTACAGTAATAGTGTTCTCTTTGTTTGCGTTGAGTAAAACTTTTCTTCTTTATTGCTTTCTAAAGACTGACACAAAATTATCTTGATCTACAAATCTATCTCTGATTTTGCTTGTCGTTTTTGGTTCATCACATATTCATATTGATGTCAGACGTCCTATTAACTCCGACTTCTGTGGGCAGAACAACTGGGCAGAATTCTGACTTCTTAACCCGATGTTCTGTGTTCAATGTCAGATTTCTTCTTGACTCAACTTCTCTGAACTCGATCAATGAGATTTTCCTAACTTGTTTCTTTCCCTTTCTCGAGCTTTGACTTCTTTGTTCGTTCATTACATTTTTCCTTTGACATCAATGTACATCGACTGAAAATAATAGCAATTAGATTGTTTTTCAAAAACTAAGATCTCATTTTAGATGTAGTCGATCGTGCGATCCTGGACGATATGGACTACGATGCCTCAAGACATGCGAATGTCAAAACGATGGCGAATGTCGTCCGAATGATGGTCGGTGCATCTGCTTGGCCGGGTTTATAGGGGATAAATGCGAACACAAGTGCCCTCCAATGACGTTTGGGGTGAACTGTACTTACACTTGCGGTATGTGTGCCCAAAGTCAGTCGTCTTCCTGTGATCACGTGACAGGAAAATGCATCTGCTTACCTGGTTACTATGGCTACCATTGCGAGAATGAATGTCCGGAAGGTAAATACGGTCAGGATTGTGCATTGGACTGCGAGTGCGCAAACGAGGCTTCTTGTCATCACGTGAACGGAACATGTGATTGCACGGAAGGTTTTATTGGAAGAAAATGTGAAAAGGCCTGTCCTCAAGGAAAGTTTGGTGCGAACTGTTTAGGTATGTTTGTATTTTTGCGATGCATTTTTCAATTACATGAGATGAAGTCAAATGACCTATGTCTGTGCAGATGGTGATTTATGAGATCACTCTAGGACTACAGTCACGTGATTAGATATGGATTTTCTTTGTAGGAGTCTGTCTATGTGAAAACGGTGCGTCATGTGATAAAGTAAATGGGAAATGTCTGTGTCTTTCGGGATTCACAGGGAGTCGTTGTATGGACAAATGTCCCGACCGTTTATGGGGCATTGAATGTCAAAACAAGTGCTCGTGTGAGTGGAATCGGACAAGGAAATGTCGAGGTGATAACGGGCAATGTCTTTGCCACGATGGCTACAGAGGTGCCACTTGTCAACAGGTACCTCTTGCTATTCACGTGTCTCCGTCTTACTTCAATATTTAACACATCTTCCTTTCAATTTATTAGTTCTGCGAAGATGGGACTTATGGTGAAGATTGCAAACATCCTTGCCCGGTTTGTTCCCGACACGTGATCGGCACGTGTTATAAAATTGACGGCCGTTGCCCCTGCTCCCCAGGTTACCGAGGACATTTGTGCGACAGTGATTGCATGCTGAAGAATTATGGAAAGAACTGCGTAAAGCGCTGCGATTGTGATGTTGATCACGTGTGCCATCACGTGACTGGTGCTTGTTATCTAACGTGTGTGGGAAGGTTTCAAATCGTCATCAAGGAAAACTTCACAAAGTTCGATGAGATGGTACGGCGAAAACAATTGAAACTCAATGTTGCCGTTTTGATAGCCAAATACAATAACATGTATGAGGAACTACGTCATCTCTCCAGACGAAGGATTCCGGTCACGTCAATTCATGGAAATATAAGCATCGTCAGCACGCAGATAACGGAAACAATTCAACCTGCAACTAGGCACGACTTTGTTGCACGTATTTTAGGTAAGAAGCGCCTACCTTCACAGCTATCGGCAACATCTGTCTTTCGTTTATAAGCTGCTCAATTTGATCTTAAATTTTCATCTTTGGAGGCTCCGTCAACTTCAATAAATCGATATGGTATTTTTTGTTATCGATAAGTAGATAGAATTTGAATACTTCTCACTGTCAAATTCCCTTCGTATATACCAATCTTTTCACACAGGCTAAAAGAAAGTTCATTGCTATAGAAAAGTGCTGTAAACGATAGTAATGTATTACATAACTTTAGTTGCTCGCGATGGAACGCATTATTCCACTTTGCAAATTGCAATTGCAAGTTATTGTTGAGAATTCGTGGTTGAAGTGTAATGTCAGAATTGATGAAGTGTATCTAAAAAAATTAGTATTTATTGTTGGATATGAAATACAGAATCCTCTCTGTAATTTAAGCTTGTCGTTTCAGATCTCAAACCCGTATTGACATCGGATGGCTCTGAAGAAGTTGTCGCAATTAATATGGTTATGTTCGATGGCGAGATCCTACTTAACGGTAGCATTGTGAAGGATGTGATTTCATGTTTGGATGAAGAAGCTGTAAGCAATATCCTTGGATGTACTTATTATTCCGGGGTGTTGTATTCAGAGAATGCCGTCCCTGGTTCTGTGTACTCTCCGCTGGTAATTGGCGCGAGTGGAGGTAAGACTTGTTGTTTTTTCCTACCTTCTTTATGACAGGCAATTTCGCATATAAATAGCCAAAAAGATGGCCTTGCGTGGATATTATTTCATGTTCAATGCGTGTCTCATTCAGGTTCTCTTGGCCTGGTGGTTTTGATGATAACATTGTGGTTGTGCCGTAAACGTCAGCGACGTTTGAAGAAAATAAAATCGGAGAAAAAACGGCAAAACGAAGCGGAGATGGAGATAGAGTTGCGAACGCGGGGCATCCGCCATAACGGTTACAGATTGGCTTTCGATAATCCTTACTATGACGTCCTAGCTGCCATGGTTTTGGAGGAGGACGTTGAAGAGGATTACATTAATCCCCTATGTGATCTTGATAGTATGATGAGTCATCAAGGTAGTGACGAAAGCGTTAGCAGCGTCAACCATTGTAGTATTGACAGAGGCGAGAGTCTACAATCTATATCGTACTGCTGAGGTATTGAAACCGTTGTCTTCATCTTTATGTATCTGTCTCGGCAGTACTTATCGTCAAGCAATCGCATGTTGTACAGCTGTTTTTAAAACAGTTCCTATGCGAAGTTTGAAATGACCTATTCTGCTCGCTTTCCTCCTTGACAAGTTTTGAAGCTGTAATTGACCTCTAATTTTAGAGAAAATGATAATAGCGCTGTTGTCATTGAAACCGAGAATGAAGGCAGCTTTTTGGAAGCTCTTCGATAAAAATGAGAAACAGTAGTTACCACTCACTGTATGTTTTGATGCAAAATTTATCATCATTACACATTCCATGATAAAGCAACTCCGTATAGGTTTTCTAAATGGTTTTACAGCTCTGTTGTTATTCTAAGTGTTACAGTTTCAAATCACAGTACGCTGGTATGTCTTTATAGAAAGGTTAACCATAGACGTAAATTGGATAAAGCGAGTTTAGTCAATCGATTTTTAAGGCCATTGAGTATTATCAATTTCAGTGGACTATTGAGCGATGATTTATAGCTTAACTGATGTGCGGGCCATTGCCCCACTAGCAATGCGTCATACAACTGTTGTCCATACATATTGACAGCATTCCAGATGTCTGAAGTCAAAAATGGCCTTAAAGTATCAAACTTATCATTTGAGTTACTATGATGAGATAAAGCCAAGATCGTTTTGAATTGCCGCAAAGTCTTTAGTCGTTTTTTGTGTAAATAGCTTAGTCATGTTGCTTAAAAAGTAATGCATTTTATATTTATACAGCGTTGATGAACTCGCCCATGGAGATGGGGTATTTAATCTATTTTTGTGTTTAGCAAGACTGTAAATATTCATACGCCAAATTTAATTTCGTTGTTCGCATGTTTACTTTACAAACCAGTTTATTTTTTTATAAAAAAGTAGAAATATCATGAAAGTTTTGTTACATAGTTGTGTTTTTCAAAAAAAATCGAAAATAAAGGAAAGAAGGAGTTTTCAATTTTTCTATTTCCGATGTTCTTTTCTATTTTGACATTCAGTTCATCTTCAGAAAAGTCAAAATGGCATATCTTTACATTATTTTTCTGTTCAACTTTTTCACAGTATTGCTCAACTTTCTCAAACTATTTTGTCTCCACAATACTCTTCATTCCTTCAATACACGATCATCTCTTTTCAGTGGCGTAGCTAGCGGTCTGGCTGGTCGGGCTCAGCCCGACCAAATATTTTCCCAAAAATGAAAAATTTGTTTTCTTTAAAATTGGATTTGCGAAAATTTTAAAATCTGCGACTCTTTTTGGAATAATCCACAGTCTATTGGTGTAATATTTGTCAAATTGCGTCGTTATTAGCAAAATTATCATATTTTTAAACGTTACTTAGCAACAATGACTAGTGCATTTCTAGTGCCAGGCATTACGCAGTTTAGTCGGGCTCTGAAAATTCAGCCCGACCAAGTAGTAAAATCTATAGTGGGATTATCTGCAGTCTGATTGGTTGACAGCAACTGAAAAAACTCAAATGCGCTGTTTCGCGACATCTAGTCGGGCTCTGAAAATTCAGCCCGACCAAGTAGTAAAATCTATAGTGGGAATATTTGTAATCTGATTGGTTGAGAGTAGCTGTGAACACACTCAAACGTTTAACATCTTGTCGGGCTCATTTTCAAAAGCGTGACTTGAATTTTGAGCTTTCGAAATATACGTTCGGAAATCGTGATAACTTACATTACAATGGCTTCGGCTAATGAAATCGATATAATAAGTGAACTACAAAAGAAACCATTTTCTGTTCGACAATCAGGCGAGCAAAATATACTCGTAAAGCAGCGGCCAATTCCAAATTTACAAGCGACTACAGGCAATAGAAGCTTTCAGGAAAGTTGGTACTCGAAGAAAGATTGGCTTTGTGGTAGCTCAGAAAAGAATGCATTGTTCTGTTGGCCTTGTCTTTTGTTTTGCCCTGGATCGTCATCTTCATGGACGCAGACGGGATTCAAAACATGAAGAATTTCCTATCCGATTGTAAGAAGCATGAGAAGGCAAAATCGCACATGGGTGCTTACAAGACCTGGAGGACCTACGGTTTTCAGCCTCGTGTCGACTGTCTCATGTCACAAACCAGACGTGAAGAGATTCAGCGTCATAACGAGGAGGTAAGGCAAAACAGGGAAATGTTGAAACCATAACAGAAGCTGTTTTATACTTGTCTAGGCAAGAGCTTGCATTTAGGGAGCATGATGAATCTAGAGGCAGCATGAATAGAGGAAATTATAGAGAGCTACTTGAAAGTTTTGCCAAGATGGATTCTGTTTTTGAAAGGCGATTACATGGCAGGCTTGCTGAAACCAACCTTGCTGGGGGAGGGCGGTTTACTGGAGTCTCTCCTGATATTCAGAATGATTTGATTGATTGTCTTGATAAGATAATAGAGGATGAGATTTTAAAGGAAATAGATTGCTGCACTTTCTTAAGTATACAGGTTGATGAGGCAACTGATGTTTCTACCAAAGAACAATTGAGTGTAATTGTTCGAATGGACAAAGGGGAAAGTGTCATTGAAAGACAGCTTGGGTTTGTTGATGTTAGTTGTGATAGGACTGCAACTGTTATATCATCAGTGGTTAAGGGTAAGTTAAGTCAATGTGATAATGTGAAAGAGAAATTTATTGGACAGACTTATGATGGTGCATCTGTTATGTCTGGTCATCTCAATGGTGTTCAAGCTCAAGTTCAGCAGGATTATCCTTATGCTCAATTTGTTCACTGTGCTGCCCATAAACTAAATCTAGTATTATGTCAAGCTGCATCCTCCATTTCACCTGTTAAGACTTTCTTTGTTAATATTAGTGCTTTCTGCACCTTTACTAGCCATTCCTCCAAAAGAAAAGCTTTACTATCATCCCATAGGCTTGAGTTTCCTAGTCCTGGTGACACAAGATGGTATTATAGGGCTCATGTCATCAATGTCTTGCATTCTAACTATGAGAAACTGATAGACATATTTGAAAATCTTACTGATAATCCAATAGGTTGGGATGATGAAACGTTAAATAAGGTTACTGGTTTACTTGGCTACCTTAATGGCTTCTTGTTTTGTTTCTTGGTACTTGTTTTCCATAGAATTCTTGAGCAGTCATCCATACTTTATTCTATCTTCCAAGACAAGGACACTGACTTTCATTATGGAGTGAGTAGGGTTGAGAGATTCAAGGCCTTTGCTGCTTCTTTGAGAAATGATACAGAATATTGTCAGGTGTACGACCTGGCTGTTGAGAAAGTGGGACCACCAGTAACCAGGTATGACCAACGGCATAATTACAAACAAATGTATTTTGAAATTCTTGACACAATTGTGACTATGCTGACTGAGCGATTTCAGGATATGGAGCGTTTTAGATTTTTGACCTTGTTAACCCTAGGGTGTTTAAGATGTGGAAAGGTGAAGTGCCCTCAGAAAAGATAAATCTTCTAAAGGAGGTTTATGGTGATATGTTTGACATACCATTGCCAGTTAGCCAACTTTGTTTTATTTACAGAGATAAAGTGATTCATGCGATGAACTATTGAAATATATTTTTCAGTTCCATCTTCAATCTAGTAATCCAGAAGTTGTAAAACTGTTAAAGATAAATGGGTTTTGTCAATTACAAGTGCTTCAGTTGAGAGGTCATTTTCTTGTTTGAAGAGGGTAAAAAATTATCTTAGAAATACTCTGAGCCAAGGACGTTTTAGTTCTCTTTGCAGGATTTCCATTCACAAAGACATACCGTCAGAGAAAGAAGACGCCAACATATTGCATGATGAGGTAGTAAAGAAGCTCATTGAAAAACCACGAAGACTTGCTTTCTTATACAAATAGGTATTCATATATGGCTGATAGCAAGCTGATGATGTCTTACGTCCATGGCATGTGAGAATTTTTCCGGGAACTTTTTAATGCAGGCAATGATGATTGTCATTTCAGCACGACAATGAACGGTATCACAACTTTTGAGAGTTGTTGATGACAAATCTGAGCCTTTTTCGGTTCTTTTGTCAAAGTTTCTTTACAAGATGTACATAGGTATCTATTTATGTATGTGGTGTTGAGAAAATAAATCACATATCTGCAACTATTTTTGAACTATTTCTCTGCTTTACTATAAGATCCTTCGGCAATTTAAATTAACCAAAATGGTTCTATTTCCTGCATAAATATCACGCATTTGCTTTCTAAATAGCCGTTTCCGACGTTCTAGGGAGTCTAAATTCGGAAAATTTTCTCGCTCCGCGCCAACCATGGTAGCGCCTCGTGAGCCCGACCAAATGTTTTTCGCTAGCTACGCCACTGTCTCTTTTGGTGTGTGACTGCCTGAGATTCGGTACATCCCAAGAGAGATTGATAGCAAGTCAAGAATTCCTTAATGTTGCTTTTTTTCCTCAGCTATCCAGTATCATTTCAGAATTTAGTGTGAGATAATCCCTCTGAGCAAGTTTCCTCGGACGTTACTGATGCTCTGTTAAATCGATCTAATGAAGATATAACTGCCTTGCCGTCTTCCTTCTGTTCTGCGTTTAACTGTACGCATGCGCGTATAAGCATACAAAATCAGAAAAACTATCTTGAATTATCCTTGGCATAGTAGAGACTGTAGAGTGGGCTGTCATGCTCTGCTAATTGAGCAGTTTAATAATGAGCTCGTATTTTGTACTTTTTTATTATTGCAACCGTTTCTGCTCATTCAAATAATGGCGTGCCGCACTTAAAAGTTTGCGGATTATCGAGTAGCGATTTACTTTACGGACTTGAATTTTCAAGCGTATGATCAGGTGGATTACAGGATTGGATCACTGTATCGGATGCTGGCTTTTGGTTTTGGCTTTACATTTTGATCCCACTTTGATCCCAAGCAGCCTTTGCAAGAATGCTTCGCCATGTTGGAAGTTATATGAAAAGAAAATAGTGATTTTTTACACAATTCACTGAGGTAAATTTAAAAATTGAAGTATGGAAACGATAATAGAGGCGAAGGCAGCACGAAAATTCGAGAGGCTCGAAGATGCGATAACCGAATTTTACTGAAGAAACAGACGGTAAAGCATTTTAGTCTTCCAAATCATTCAATCAATTTACCTACTGATTCAGACTGTATTCATCAGCTTTAGTTATCAGTACGATATTTTCAACATAAATTTACTCTTTACTTTTACTGCATCGAAATGATATCTCTTTCCGCAGCCAAAAGACCAAATCAATTCATATCACAGAGCCAGGGATCTATTAGAGGTTTGCCAGATAATTCAATTTCTTTGTACCTCTTGAATGACTTATAGTGCTTATCCATTTACAAAAATAAGGTTAACTTTAAAACTACAATCCTGTGCTTAAATAATTTAGCCTTTTTGTTTGCAAAACACCACAAGACATTGAATTTGATTTTGTATATCAACTCACCAGTCACATTGTCTATTTAATTGAAATGTGCATCTGTCTTTTTGTAGAGATATCTCTCTTCTACCAGCTCGTGGCTGACATTGTATAATGATAATGATGGGTAAGAATAGACATTTTGATAGTTTTTTATGAGCTTAGTTAATTTAAGGTAAGAATTAGCCGACTAGCGTTGCATGATGTGAGTCGAACTACATATTTGCGTCATTGCAATGCTGCCTTAAACATTCAGTTAATGCAAATGTATTTATTTCATTTGTGTTGGTTCATTTCTTATACTTTTGAAATGTCTTTCCTGTTCTAGGATGAGGAAAGAAGAAATATCTGCTTTATCTCTGGGCCCAATGAGTTTGCTGAATTCTACAGCAGATTATGAGTTATCAAAGACTATCACAGAAAGTATCCAAATGAGGTGATATGATTTACAATGAATGCATATACAGCCATTGGGAAATGTATTTCATTTCGGGAAAATATTTTGTTCATTGTTTTTTTGGATACCATTGAAACACCATGGAATAGGAAATTTTCTTGCAAGAAATTGCATGAAATTGATTTGGTTTGCTTTATTTGACATATTTAGTGTTTGAACTAGAAATTTGGCCCTCTGGAATTCTGACCAAATTAGCTATGTCCAGTTTTAGCCAAAATAAAACACAAACTCAGTATTGAGGTTGAGCTCTATTGAATTGACACATGACTTTCAGTGAACCAAAAGAATGTTTGTGAAGGTGAAATCTAATTTTCTTTGCTTTGTTTCACCTAAGAAACAAACCTGAGAGCAATTTTCTTTGCTTTGTTTCACCTAAGAAACAAACCTGAGAGCAATTTTCTTTGCTTTGTTTCACCTAAGAAACAAACCTAAGAGCAATTTTCTTTGCTTTGTTTCACCTAAGAAACAAACCTAAGAGCAATTTCACCTAAGAGCAATTTTCTTTGCTTTGTTTCACCTAAGAAACAAACCTGAGAGCAATTTTCTTTGCTTTGTTTCACCTAAGAAACAAACCTAAGAGCAATTTTCTTTGCTTTGTTTCACCTAAGAAACAAACCTAAGAGCAATTTCACCTAAGAGCAATTTTCTTTGCTTTGTTTCTAGGAGGGAAGAAAGTGCTGAAATTCGTAGAACGTTGCATATGAATGTTGATGGAGTCCGCAAACGAGGTAGACCGAGAAAGAGATGGATGGATGCTGTGAACAGTGATATGAAGGCGATGGGTATAACGAGAGATATGGCGAGAGATAGAGACGTTTGGCGTAGAAAAGTTCATGGACCGGTCAACCCCCCTGGCGGGGATTAATACTGGCCGGTATACAAATGTTGTTTGTTTGTTTGTTTGTTTGTTTCACCTAAATTCCAAGAACATAAACATAAACACCCCAACACATCCTTAGCTGAAGATGCGATTTTCCAGTAAAATCGATCACATTTCCCATTTAAACGTGATAATTGATAAATCTCACAAGTAATATATCTAAATGACTGGGACCGCAGAGGATCGATAATTGGTGGGCTCATACTCATATATGTATGTTATAATCCATAGAAAACAATGGATTTCAAAGGAACTTGATACGGCACATCATGCACATATGAATATCAGCCCCCCCCCACCCTCCCCTTCACCCAATTATCGATCATTTGCGGTCGTTGAATTATGAAATGAAGTGTTATAAACCCTCTCACTGCACTGTTCATGTATGAACTGATCACGTAGAACCGTAAAGAGGCTGTTCGCGATTTCTTGGTCAGCTACTGAAGTTAGAACTTTCAAATTTGATCATCATTTATATGTTCTGTAATCAAAGGGTTCAAGCTCAAAAATTTGCGCACTGCTTCATCGCGCGGCAAGTCCGATTGCGCGCACAATCTGCGTCATCTTTGCATTTCTAAGTCGTTGTTCACCACGTATTGTTTTAAGACTTTTCACATTGTTGTCAATCGTGCACTGCTTCATCGCGCGGCAAGTCCGATTGCGCGCACGATCTTGCGTCATCTTTGCATTTCTCTAAGTCGTTGTTCACCACGTATTGTTTTTAAGACTTTTTCACATTGTTGTCAATCGTGCACTGCTTCATCGCGCGGCAAGTCCGATTGCGCGCGCACGATCTTGCGTCATCTTTGCATTTCTCTAAGTCGTTGTTCACCACGTATTGTTTTTAAGACTTTTTCACATTGTTGTCAATCGTGCACTGCTTCATCGCGCGGCAAGTCCGATTGCGCGCGCACGATCTTGCGTCATCTTTGCATTTCTCTAAGTCGTTGTTCACCACGTATTGTTTTCAAGACTTTTTCACATTGTTGTCAATCTTCAAAAGGGATGAACATTAAACGCTCATCCTCATGAACAACGAGGGAAGGTCATGAAAACAGAACATTGTTAATTTGCCTTAATAAACCGCTCTTCCTGTAGTTTTTTTTTTTTACGAAACATTTATTTACCGTCAATAGTGTTGTTCCCAAGTCTGATATTTTCCAGCGTGACGAATTGCTTTCCCGGATGACGTTGGGTGCATGCATGCGCGCTCACGAGCAATTGCGCACACTAGAAGCTTCGAAATTTTTTTGTCAGGTGGTGGAGTCGATGCAAGTCGAGTTTATGAACATGAAGGAAGCTCGTGAAAACCCTACGGAAGATATGCAAGGTGAAATAGTTATTTTACTTTTATATTTGAAGAGACATCTTTTAATGTATCTTGTCTTCAATCGAAAAGATAAAACGTATTAGCTAAATAGTTTGATTGATTATTTCGTTTTATATTTGACCGTTTAGATTTTTTAAGCTCTGATTTTTCTTACGTTATCACAATAGCTGCATACAACATCCAGACGAAAAAGATGGATCCAATGGCATCATATAGCATTGGTAATGCAAGAGTTCTAAATAGTAATTTTGCGAGTGTTATAAGGCAGACATCAAAGGTCTTTCTTCTATTAACAAAGAAATAAAGAATCATTTCATCAAACTTATTTATCATCAATATGGATAGGCTGAAATCCTGGTATGCATATGTGGCTTTGGTGGTTATTACTTTAAACTGTTGTTTTAATCCAAAAAACAATTAGCTATAAGTTTATAAAAGGTATTTGCTATTGCAGTGAATTGAATCACTTTTCTCTCTTCAGCCATCTGCAACAGGCAATCTTTTTTTAATAATTTTATTATCAATAATTAAGTATAATTCTTAAGTCAGATGTAAACTGAAACAAAGTTCCTTTGATGTATTTTGAAATAATCTGTCCATTTTCTTATTACAAATTTTAAATTATTCCTTGTTGATATAATTTTCATACAGGTGCTAGTTATCATATTGAAGACTTTTATTTCTTGTAAATTGTGTCTAGCTATGAAAGTTTAATCTTTTGAAATCATAAATATTTCTTGCGAGACTTTATATACATACAAGGTTTAAAGATTAAACACTCGTAATATCCTCAATTATAGAAGGAATAACTGCGAACCTTTTTAATTCCCTTTCGCTGATAGATCGTAATAAATTGACATTGCCAAAGTAGGATATTCAATCATAAAATTCCTAAGCTCTTATTAACCGAGCTCGAGGTCTTTACGGAGAAATATCGGACCTAAGTTTTTTTGGGGTTTTTTCAGAAATTTGCTTAACACAGTACTTTCATCTTTTTACGAGAACAGTCTTTCACCGACTAGAACGGTGAACCTTGCCTACGCCACTGTTAACTAAGCTGAGTAAATATTTAGGCAGTGTGAATAGTGATAAGGTTTCTCTCAATTTTATGTTTATAACTTATTCATGTACTATATAAATTTACATATCAGTTTACATATACCTTATTCATATAAGTTTCAGTGCAGTGTAAATGTTTCAAGACAATGTCCACGTTGAAAAAGTTTCTCTCTATTATGACGCCATGTGAATGTTTTACAACAGTGTTTACTTCGGTAACGCTTCAATCCATCATGTTTGTCTTCAGCAGAATTATCGATACACAGTTCCAATTGAAATGACATTTCCTTGTTTCTGATTGTCAATTGGGACAGTATATATATAGGACAGCCGTCCATCTCACATAATGATTCGTTTTGTAACTGTGGATTTTTCGGAGTTCATTTTTCATGTCAACATTTAGGTAGTTCTTGCTACTGTATTTTTGATTACAGGGTGAAAATTACCGTGGCTTTGTACAAAAACATTGTGGAGATTCCAATGGATTGGTACAAATAGACTTACGTTTGTTTGTACAAATCAAATCCATGGGAGTCTCCATAGAACGTTTTTATGTTTCTCCAGGTAATTAGGTTGAGTATAGCAATTCTTTTATTCGTATCATGAATGTGTAGTGATGTCCAATGAATTGCTTTAACAATGTTAGTGTATTTTATCTTCTGTGCTCAAGTGATCTAATTGATCATTCACAAAAGTTAACGATTTTCCACTCGTTTAAATGAATATTCGAAAGTTTTATTGTTGTATCACACCGAGTTGTCGAATGTTCATTTGTGTTTAATGCAGGGGGGGGGACAGGTGTTTTGTAATGAAGCAGATTTACAATAGACAGAAAAAAAAATGCATCGCGTACATGTTGGTAGTTGATAAATCATGAAACACAACAAGTTCAAAAATATAGAGCTTTAGTTCACTCATCTATATGAGGTTGGATGTAGTTTGGCTTTTTAAACATTGAATGTAAGTTCTTTGTTTGTTTGTTTGTTTCTTTTTTGTTACATCGCTTAAAAACCTAAAGCGATCTTTTGTGGCAAAAAGCCTTGAGCGATATTCGTTGCGTCTTTAATTTTCAACTTCCAAACACCTGCCTTTAGCAGACGGCTGGTTTGGGAGAATTTGACGCTCGTTGCTAATGTTTTGAAAGTAACTGAGACAGATGTGAGACTAAAGACTAAAGAAAAAAAATTATTTAGCTACCAGCTTATAATTATGTTTGTGAAATATTTAAAGAAAAAAGATTGCGAAAATCGCAAGATTTGCTTTGAAAGTGAATGTAAAGAGCTAACTTTGTTTCATACATACATGCTTCGGCAAATTTATGCCAAATCAGTGGTGCAAAGTAATGAGTGGGAGTACAAGCGTTACATTAATCATTTTACATGTTTGTAAATGTAGATCGTCCAGGTTGGTATAGTCCTGAGAAGGACTGTCTTTGTTGTTGTTGATTGACGTTTCGATAACCTTAGCGGTAGTTATCTTCAGACTCTGTCAGATATGCGTGTAAGATAAGTTTGATATTCATTAGTCAAAACAAGCTCAAAAAGACTAAGAACATGCGAAAAATATATGATTAAAATTTTCTAAGCTTAACTTCAACAACTCTAAGTTCATGGTCATGGCAACGACCAATTTCAGTAGCTCTCGCTCACATCACATCAATTAATTGAGAATTGAGCACATGGCACGACTAACTGCATCACTCACCAAATTTGAAGAAAATTGCATGCTTAGTAACATTTTAACAGAAATCACTTACGGGCTGTTGTGGCTTAGTCGCAAATTATTAAAGAAATCATCTGGGCATGCGCAGTAGTGACTTTAATAATACCGCAACCTTCCTAAGCATTTGAATTTTTGTATATATATATAAATCTAAAACTTCATATAGTAGATGTCAACTAGCAGTGGAAGCTGGGTGCGATATGTATGCAGTGGCTTAGGGGTCCAGACGTTTCGGGTCGCGACCGCACTCTCCCTGCGTACCCCGAGCAAAGCCTATCGCAGGTGATCTCGGGGTCTGATGGGCGGAAGCTTGCTATTGACATCCCCAAGTAGGATAGCGTGGAAGGGGCCGAAATCTCCTACCGAAACGTTAACATGCAGCGTTCTAGTGCCTTACGCTTAAGAAGGTATCGGGAAGCATGGACCGAAAACGGGGGTTTTTTGCTTTCCAATTTTATCTTTTTGTTTACAAGAGTTTTTGTTCTCATAAAATAAACCAAGCAACGTTTTGATTAACTTCTTCTGGCACTGTACCTTTTTCAAGCACTTAGACATCTAAAAACAACCTTAAACATGTTTTATACAATTTTTAGTAATTTATATCTTTCTGATTTAACTCTCGCATTTACTGTTTCTCATGTGTCACGAACAAACCATCTATGACCTTCATCGCAAACAACGATTATCTATTTCCCTTAATTAACATGCGACGTCTAGTGCTCAACTACCTCGGCCTATCGCGAGGCATGGACCGAAAAGGGGATTTTTTTTTTAAAATTTGTCTTTTTTCTTTACAAGCATTTTTCTCATAAAAGAAATTAAAACATCTAAGGATACTGCAAAGGGTTCAAAAAACCTCTGCCTTTTTGACTTATAATTCAAAGAAACTCTAAGCATGTTTATACGTGCTTTTACTCGTCACCTTTTACAATGTAACTTTCTCATACCTCTCTCGTGATGCACGAGAGCCTCCTTATACAATATAACTCTCTCACTATGAACGAAAGCAACAATGGCCTTCATGGAAAAAAGGGAGCAACTATTTTTTATAATAGTTTCTACAAAGATAACATTCAATAAGCCAAGCAATTTGTATCGTCCAAATTGGATCTCACTTTCAACCCTTATGTTATAAAATTTTGATTCACTTTGGACAATAAATTTCTTTTTACCTTGCGATATTTTCATTTTCAATGTACAAAATATCTTCACTTCTAGAGTAATTTTGCGATTAGAAAACCACACTTTTAGGATTCAAAGGAATCTTTCGATCACATAGAAACAACCGTCCAATTTATTACTTACCTAAGCGTGTATAAAGCATTTCATTTCCAAATCACGTAAAAAATTTACTACACATCACCAAATGACCGCCTATTTATACGATGTATGAAATGAAAAGTTACCTTGACAGTTGAAGCAAACCCTCCTTTTTCCAAGCTTTTGCAACACCTTAAATTCTTTCCGAAGTCTTGAATTTCATGCAGCGTAGCTGATAGGAGCAGGCTTTAAATCAGGATACTCATCTCCATCATCACAGCCATTTTGATTTCTCCCTTGATCTTTTTTAGCTTCAGGCTTATCTGAAGTGATGTTATTGCTTTTAACCGTGCGACATGGGAATTGGAGTGATAAAAGTGATAAAAGGATGCATGTCCAAGAAGCTGCTTTGCTAAGCATTGGTTACCGTTCTCCCGATATAGAATCTATACAAAGTATATGACATTAAAAGACAAGAGCTATAAATTCTTCGTCACTTTAATACTTGTTTTTCTTCATGATCTTGATATTTGTAGTTATATTGACAAATACATATTTCGAGAAGGGTGACTTTTTTATGGCACTGCGATTTTATGAAAAGTCACTTGGAAGTCCAAAACGAGGGTTTGAATGCATCCAAAGACTAAACTCATTTACCTTATCAGTTTACTTCTTAAAGAAAACACCTAAAGAATGTAACAATAGAAAACTGAAAAGGTGAAAACTCGTTTTCTTGAATGCATTTTTGAAGCTTTTTCAATACTTACCTTGAACTTTACCAAAAACTTCGAAATCTGAAGTAATCAGTTTTTTTGGTGCACGAAGGAGCTGTATTAGATTGGCGATATTTTTTAGTGTATTTTGGTCAGGATTAAAAATTCCGGAATTTATTTAAATTGGTATTATATTTTACTATACTTTATTCGGTGCCTTCTTTTCTGTCTACTTTAGTGAATACTTTTACGTCAACTTTATTTTAGTAAATGCACAACAAAATTGTGACATAAATAGACACAACTGAATGTCAAATAAACAATTTACGAAGAAGTTACTAATGACCTACCAACGAGTTACGATTAACATACCAAAGAGTAACCAACAACTGAACAACCAATAACCAATGAAATACCAACGAGTTTTTAATAGGTTAACAGCGAGTTACCAAAAACATGCCAACGAGTTACGACTTTGCAAACGACCTAATAATATTTCAACGACAAATAATCTCTCAACAACATACTGTCCCGAGTGTTTAAGCAAGCCATCCAAAGACGGAACCATCAAGTAGTAGTTAATTTAAATACTTTTTACTTTATACAAATTTTCAATTGTCTTGTGTTTAACATTGTACTATCTAAATTTGTGAGCAACGACTCAAAAACAGTCATTGCAACTTTTCTAGTTCTAAAAATAAATGTTATAAATTCAAAATTAAGAAATCTAAAAATTCAAGGACACATGCATTTCAGCACATTTCTCATCAGGTGCTACACCTGCTTAGATGAAAAACAATGATCTACTTCTATTTGTAGTGAAGGCATGAAAAA